AAATCACCTTGATCGCACAAGACAATTCCACCTTCAATCACCTTGATCGCACAAGACAGTTCCACCTTAAATCACCTCGATCACACAAGACAATTCTACCTTAAATCACCTTGATCGCACAAGACAGTTCCACCTTAAATCACCTTGATCGCACTTGTCAATTCTACCTTAAATCACCTTGATCGCACAAGATTGTCCGAAATTAGGCCCGACGTCAACCCAAGGTCATCCCACAACACCTTAGATCACAGCGACCACCTAAGCCCATGTCGAGACCAAACCAGATGACTCTAGGTCATCCTTGACAACTCTAGACCAGTATAGACACCCCACAGCCACCCTTGTCCGTCCAACCACCCTAATTCACCCTTGAGTTACCCTCCTAGAGTATCCTAGATCACCCTTGACCATCTTAGACCCTCTTGGAGTATCCTAGACCACCATTGACCATCCAAGACTACATGTATTTTAGATCACCCATGACGATCCTAGACTCCATGTATTTTAGATCACCCTTGACCATCCTAGGCTACATGTATTTTAGATCATCCTCGACCATCCAAGACTACATGTAGTTTAGATCACCCTTGACCATCCTAGACTACATGTATTTAAGATCACCCTTGACCATCCTAGACTACATGTATTTTAGATCACCCTTGACCATCCTAGACTACATATATTTTAGAACACCCTTGACCATCCTAGACTACATGTATTTCAGATCACCCTTGGCCATCTTAGGCCCTCCTAGAGTAGCCTAGATCTCCCTTGACCATCCTAGACTACATGTATTTCAGATCACCCTTGACCATCCTAGACTACATGTATTTTAGATCACCCTTGACCATCCTAGACTACATGTATTTTAGATCACCCTTGACCGTCCTAGACTACATGTATTTTAGATCACCCTTGACGATCCTAGACTTCATGTATTTTAGATCACCCTTGACCATCCTAGACTACATGTATTTTAGATCACCCTTGACGATCCTAGACTACATGTATTTCAGATCACCCTTGACCATCCTAGACTACATGTATTTTAGATCACCCTTGACCATCCTAGACTACATGTATTTCAGATCACCCTTGACCATCCTAGACTACATGTATTTTAGAACACCCTTGACATTCCTAGACTACATGTATTTCAGATCACCCTTGGCCATCTTAGGCCCTCCTAGAGTAGCCTAGATCTCCCTTGACCATCCTAGACTACATGTATTTTAGAACACCCTTGACCATCCTAGACTACATGTATTTCAGATCACCCTTGACCATCCTAGACTACATGTATTTTAGAACACCCTTGACCATCCTAGACTACATGTATTTTAGATCACCCTTGACCATCCTAGACTACATGTATTTTAGAACACCCTTGACCATCCTAGACTACATGTATTTCAGATCACCCTTGACCATCCTAGACTACATGTATTTTAGAACACCCTTGACCATCCTAGACTACATGTATTTTAGATCACCCTTGACCATCCTAGACTACATGTATTTTAGAACACCCTTGGCCATCCTAGACTACATGTATTTTAGATCACCCTTGACGATCTTAGACTACATGTATTTTAGATCACCCTTGACCATCCTAGACTACATGTATTTTAGATCACCCTTGACGATCTTAGACTACATGTATTTTAGATCACCCTTGACCATCCTAGACTACATGTATTTTAGATCACCCTTGACCATCCTAGACTACATGTATTTTAGATCACCCTTGACCATCCTAGACTACATGTATTTAGATCACCCTTGACCATCCTAGACTACATGTATTTTAGATCACCCATGACGATCCTAGACTACATGTATTTTAGATCACCCTTGACCATCCTAAACTACATGTAGTTTAGATCATCCTTGACCATCCTAGACTACATGTATTTTAGATCACCCCTGGCCGTCCTAAACTACATGTATATAGATCATCCTTGACCATCCTAGACTACATGTATTTTAGATCACCCTTGACCATCCTAGACTACATGTATTTTAGATCACCCTTGACCATCCTAAACTACATGTATTTTAGATCACCCTTGACCATCCTAGACTGCATGTATTTAAGATCACCCTTGACCGTTTCCGTAACCCTGTAACCGTAAGAGGTTATTGTATAAACTTAAGTGGTTTGTATTCTTACAAAGAACAGACATTCTTCAAACTGTTTTTAAAGCTGAAAAGATAAAACCTACGCCCAAAGATATCCTGACGAGGTTTCTAATAAAGGAGTGTCGATTTCTTCTCTGCTTTGATCCTATCCTCTTATATCAGTCAATCGCAGCATTTGGTTCACACCTATGATGAGATGAAATTTGTTGGAGTCAAGATTGTCTTGATTTGGTGGCTTGATACACCCATTACCCTCTCATAAAGTTGTTGAGTGGTGTTGGTATGTAAACGGACATTATGTATAGCCCTGAGATACGTAGAAACTGTGTTAGTTTTGCAGCTGGAGACTGATAACATCAGGGATCGGGAGCAGTACGAATCAGGAATTCAAACAAACGATCAGCAGATCCTGGCATATCTAAGGGACACAACTCTGCATCGCGAATTCAACCTTTGTAATTAATACAAATAGGTTCTTTAATCGTCTTTATTTTTATCGCCAGCCCATTGTCTACATCTGCAACTACTTCAACTACTGCTACACCAACTACGACTACAACTAGTCCTACAACTGCAACTACTGCTACAAGTCGGACAACTAGTCAGACAACAAGTAATACAGTTCAACAAGCGGTCCAGATGGCGGTACGGCGCAGTAATTCCGGTATGTGGCCTGATGGGAAATAACCTGCGCGGAGGTTAACAAGCATTCGTGACCAACTCGTGTTATTCCGGGACAAGCCGAAAAGCGACTCGTGCCCCTCTCATGGCAATTTTTGCGTCCAGGTTCCGGCATACCTAAAACAATTGTCAACTCAGTGCGTGATGGTTCACATATATTTCCCAATATATCATATATATTTCAGATGCAAGTTACAGCACATCGGGACATGCGGAATTATACAGTATGATTGAACACATTTAACTGTGTCTTGGGTATATTTTAAGATGCAAGACATATATAAAATCAAAAATTATTTCTGAGGGATTCTTTGACGAAGAACTTGAAATCATACGCGCATTCTGATAGGTTTGTCGTATTTTTGCACATGACATTCATCGATAGGGGGACGAGTCTTCTTGCAGGTTACGGAAAGGGGCGAGTGGTGACGAGTGGTTAACAAGTTGTGCATATATGTCCAGTGACGTCATCCCAGTGTCCTGTCATTGTCTTTATATCTCATACAATCCCCAACATGTGCAATGCCAACAGCCTAACGAGGCCTTGATGAATCACAATGTTTTTGAGAATCTTTGTATCCGGTACATGGACACCAGCAATGGATATTTTACGTCCGTTTACCAAGGTTCATGGATGTTTTGGAAAACGAAAAAAGATGAATGTTGTTTCAGATTTTTCTTTAGGTTTATAAGTAAAACCAAACACTTCCCCTGGGGGTTTTATGGGATTTAAAACCCTATAAATGTCATAAAAATCCACGGACGCGTTTTATCCGACACATATAGGCTTTACTATTACACCGATGCTTCAACTAAGAGCAATTTAAGCCCAAGGTCAACAGTGGTTGTGTTTTCACAACATATGTGTTTGTTTGTTATATCAAACACACAAAGGGGCGGTCGGGTAGCCTAGTGGTTAAAGCGTTCGCTCGTGACGCCGAAGACCCGGGTTCGATTCCCGACATGGGTACAATGTGTGAAGCCCATTTCAGGTGTCCCCCGCCGTGATATTGCTGGAATATTGCTAAAAGCGGCGTAAAACCATATTCACTCACTCACTCACTCACTCAAACACACAAACCTGTCTTCAGCTAGGCAATGTATAAACACGTTCCCTTTAGGCACGTAACTAATTTTTCATAAAACAGTGGAACAAACAAAATTTAGTGAGTGTGGTGTCACTATATCAAGATAGTGGCCACTGATCATGAGCGTCATATACTGAATACATGTTTAGAATCGAACCAAGGCGTTCGGTCTGACGAGCGAGTGAGTGAATGTTTTGGTTTTACGCCGTTTTAGCAATATTCCAGCAATACCACGGCGGGGGACACCGGGAATGGGCTTCACACATTGTACCCATGTCGGGAATCGAACTCGGGTCTTCGGCGTGAGACCCGTAAAGATCCGGGGTAGAATAGGTCTTCAGCAACCCATGCTTGCCATAAAAGGCGACTATGCTTGTCGTAAAAGGCGACTAACGGGATCGGGTGGTCAGGCTCGCTGACTTGGTTGATGCATGTCATCGATCCCAATTGCGTGGATCGATGCTCATGATGTCAATCACTGGACTGTCTGCTGAGTGCGGCGTAAAACAAAAAACCAAACCAAATCTTCGGCGTGACGAGCGAACGCTTTAACCACTAGGCTACCCGACCGCCCCCTGACGAGCGAACGTGCCATGTTCCACAGAGCGCTGTAACGCTATATATCTTAGCGCTATAACGATCGTAACTCCCATGATGTCATAGTGCTTAGGTCGTTTTGTGGAACGGGAAACATAGTGCTAACATTATCACATCTTCCCGAGGCAAGGGAGTTAACTGACTATAAAAGTCAAATGGAAACTGGACTTTTAGAGTCAGTTAGCTCCCTTGCCTCAGGAAGATGAGACTATGCTTACTTAAAACAATCTTAAAGCTAAGATCGCTTTGTGGAACGGGGTCTGGAGAACAAGGTAATCCTCGAGATGTCCATGGCTGTCATACATAGGTTCATTTCAAGGTTTTGTTTTTTGTGTTTTTTAGTTTCCATCATTCATAAACGTTAACAAATTGTCAGATTTATCATCCATTGCAGCTGTGTATGACGTCTGCACAAGCACCTGTGTCGGTCGCGACAAGGGCTACTACGGCTTCTGCGGCGACTGCAGGAAGTACGTCGTCTGCTACGAAAACATGTCGGTGTTCACGTGTCCAAACTCTCTCCTCTACAATTACGTCACAGCCAACTGTGATTGGCCAAAGAATGTGCCGAAATGCGCGTGAGTACTGACGTCATGGTATTGTCACGTTGCCGCTGTGGGGCCGGCATATGATGATGATGATGATGATGATGATGATGATGATGATGATGATTATTATTATTATTATTATTATTATTATTTCTGGGTTGGCGGGGGGTTTCAACGCCGCGCTCCAGTGATCGATATAGTGAGCAACGATCAACGCCTCCGGGGATTCGAACCAGGAATCCCAAGGCAGCCGGGAATATCATGTCTGGATTTACGAAATAGCAGCGTAAAAGAAGAACGTCTTTTTGTCTGTACGGCGAACTGGCATCTTGTAATTGTAAAGAGATTTTCGAAAAACCAAAGCTTTTGGGGAATCCTACGAGTTCAGGTTTGGTTCTGAGAGACCAAAGGATATGCTCGGGAACCCACGACCTGCGGAATCTGGCTGTGCATGGCTATGGATAGACTTAGATCTACATGTAGTCACTGAAATGAACATATTTTACAGATGAAAAACAGTTGTTAAATTATAGTAATATAATATAATAAAAATGAGCCTAAAGATTCTCTTCATTTTCAGATAATGTAGTAATCTAGACTTGCCAAATATTATAGACTGGCGTACTTGTATGGATGTATTTGTTTCAGGGTCTGTATGACAGACCTGTGCTCCCTGGTTTGATAAAGAAATGTAGACTGATGTTTTATTTTATCCACATATATTGTTTGTTTATTGTTTAACGCCGCACTCAGCAATATTCCAGCTATATGACGGCGGTCTGTAAATAATCGAGTCTGGACCAGACAATCCAGTGACTGACATCATGAGCATCGATCCACGATATTGGGATACGATGACATGCATTAGCCAAGTCAGCGAGCCTGACCACCCGATCCCGTTAGTCGCCTTTTACGACAAGTATAGTCGCCTTTTACTGCAAGCATGGGTTGATGTTGACTTGGTATTAATAATAGGTCTCTGTTGATGCAATGCAATGCACATTTGATTTCCTAGGACAACATTACAAGGACCTGTAGCCCGACTAAATGAAGCTGCAGTAATTATCACGTCGGCAACTACAACATCGCCCAGACCAACATCACCTACAACATCTCTAGCGACGCCTCCCATTACTTCTGTAACAACACCAGCAACTACATCTGTAACAACGTCAGCGACTACATCTGTAACAACGCCATCTACAACTTCTGTAACAACCTCATCTACGACATCCCTAACTACATCTGCAACCACAACCCATACTACTTCAGTTACAACATCGCCTACCACTTCAGCTACAACATCAGCAACTACCTCTGCTACCACATCAACTACTACTACTTCAGCTACAACACCTGCCACAACATCATCAACTACGGTTACTACCTCCCCTACTACCTCAGCCACAACCCCGCCAACAACCTCAGCTACAACATCAGCAACTACCTCTGCAACCACAACCCATACTACTTCAGTTACAACATCGCCTACCCCTTCAGCTACAACAACAGCAACTACCTCTGCTACCACATCAACTACTACTACTTCAGCTACAACATCTGCCACAACATCATCAACTACGGTTACTACCTCCCCTACTACCTCAGCTACAACCCCGCCAACAACCTCAGCTACAACATCAGCAACTACCTCTGCTACCACATCCCCTACTACTACCTCAGCTACAACCCCGCCAAGAACCTCAGCTACAACATCTGCCACAACGTCAGCAACTACTACGGCTACGACCTCTCCTACTACTTCAACTACAACCCCAACAACCTCAGCTTCAACATCTGCCACAACGTCAGCAACAACCTCTGCAACTTCTACAACTACGTCAGCTAAGCCCTCTGACGCGATACTAAAAAGTACAATACATCGTTCAATTTGATAAACCCCCTTAAACTTTAAAGCTACTCTCTCTAATTCCTAAAATGGCGCCGTGGCTCAATTCATAGAGCACTGCAAATTCCACAGTATGATGCGAATTGTCTTTTTTCTCGTGTGTTTCTCAACCGATGCTCAGCTTCAGATGTTGGCTGCGGGCGGAAGAAAAGCCTGCCTCATGCCATGACCGATTCACTATCGCAATATGAAACAAGCGGGTGTTCTTTAATTTCTTTTCAGTAGGATACATGCATATGCAAGGTTTGCTGTATCGGTGTTGAAAGTTTGAAAGACCCTGAGCACAACAAACATATTAAAGATAGCTTAATGTCGTATAAAGGGTAAGGATAAGAATTTATGGATGAACAACTTCTTTATTACAATTAAGAGCGACGTTGTTTCGGTGTAGGTTCTAACTTGCTTGATAGCGGTGTTAGAACCTACACCGAAACGGCGCTCTTAATTGTAATAAAGAAGTTGTTCATCCATAAATTCTTATCCTTACTCAGTACTCCAACTTCTAAATGCGCGGCCTATCAAAGAAGAGGTCGTATGAAGAGTTTGGGGCAGTCGTAAATAAGGGTTGCTATTGAGGGCATACAAACTATTGCAATAGTATTGCGATAGTTCGAAACACTATTGCCATACATTTGAAAAATAGGTATTATTTCGGTAATATTGTGATAGTTTGACAAGTACCCCTAACTCCCTGTAACCTTACATGCATTATTGACATGGTGACAAAGGGCAACAACTGAGACAGATACAGCAGATTGTCTGTTTGTTTGTTGTTTAACACCGCACTCAGCAATATTCCTGCTATATGACGGTGGTCTGTAAATGATCGAGTCTGGACCAGACAATCCAGGGACTGACATCAGGAGCATCGATCGGGGGTTTCCATAATGGTGACACGATGACATGCATCAACCAAGTCAGCGAGTCTGATTACCCGATCCCGTGTATAGATGACGGCGCTCCTATAAGCAAGGCTATATTAACGGGGTCTGGACTAACGAAGTTTCACTGTGTCAAATTGGGTTATTATGACTACCACTGTTGACAGATATCAAGTCGTGTACACAAGACGGGTGTGCAGGGAAACCACGAGGATATTACCCAGACTGCTCGGACCCCTGCCGGAAGTTCTACATCTGTGGCGACGGAAACAGCATGAGCGTGGACTGCCGCCCATTGCTGTACAACGCTAGGAAGGGTCAGTGCGACTACAACTCCGTCAACAACTGCGAGTACGTCATCCCAAGGTTTTCTCCAGACCCTAGAAAATAAATAACCAAATAAATCCAACACAAGTCTAGAATGATTTGGCAAGTCTAGAATGATTTGGCAAGTCTAGATTGGCTCAGCTCCACGAAGTATTATTGTTCTTGGCTCCATTTGCATATTTTTTTGCGTTTTTGCAGATATATAAAAAAAGATGACTTTATTTCTGGGACTTAATGTCAGTCCCGGACTATATGGCAGTTCATGGACATGCTACACAAAGCGAGCGTAACTCTACGACTGTCGTAAATCTATGTTTATGTAGGGGAGTTATTACGGTCACAGCGTAAGATCGCTTTGTGCAAAGTGGTCCACAAACTGCTCGTTACACTGCCACATTCGTTCGCTTGTTTGTTTGTTTGTTTGTTTGTTTGTTTGTGTGATGTTTAACGCCGCACTCAGCAATATTCCAGCTATATGACAGCGGTCTGTAAATAATCGAGTCTGGACCAGACAACCCAGTGATTAACATCATGAGCATCGACCTCCTAAATTGGATTACCATGACATGTATCAACCAAGACAGCGAGCCTGACCACCCAATCCCATTATTTGCCCTCTTACGATAAACATGGGTTGCTGGAGACCATTTCTAACCCGGATCTTCGCGGGTCACATTCGTAAGCCTATGATGAACTATATTATTACGATAGGTCGTAACGCTACAAACTTTTTTATGGATTGCGACCCAGGGCCCTGTTCCATAAAGCCATTTTAGCCTTACGATGATCGTAAGTACCATACCTTAACACTGACTTACGACAGTCGTAGGGCTAAGAAAATCTGATTATCTCTGCTGGGGCCTCCTGTCTATGAAGTCTAGGTCGAGACGTTGTAGTCAAACTGAGGTATTGTCTGTATGTGTAATTTGGATACTCGTTGTCTGTAAACAATTGATTCATGTGTTTAAACAGAAATGCGTCACCATTAGCTGTCGCTGTTGCCGTTGCATCCCCAACAACGTCTGCGACAACTAGTCGTGAGTATGATTTTTATACTTTACTTTGTTACTCTAATGAGTGAGTGAGTTTGGTTTAACGCCGCTTTTAACAGTATTCCAGTTATATCGCGGCGTGTCAGCTTAATGTGGGAGGAAAGCCCGAAGTGATGCAGGTCTCAGACGTTTACCTCTTCGGTGAAACCCACGAGCAAGGGTATGGTGCTGACAAACCTAGAAACATAATCCGGGCGAACCGGGATTCGAACCCACATGCCCAAGGGACGCAACTCTGCACAGCGAATCGCGGCGCCTTAGACGACTGGGCCACCCGTGCCCCCGGAGTTGTAAGAAATTAAAACGGTAGCATGTGAAAAGTGTAGGTGGGAAGGGAGATGAGCTTCGTCCTGTAATCCGACGGATAACGTTTGTTTGGTTGGTTGGTTGATTGTTGTTTATTGCCGCACTCAGCAATATTCAAACTATATGACGGCAGTCTGTAAATAATCGAGTCTGGACCAGACAATCCAGTGATTGACATCATGAGCATCGATCTACGTAATTGGGATACGATGACATGCATCTACCAAGTCAGTGAGCCTGATCACTCGATCCCTTTGAGTCGCCTCTTACGACACGCATAATCGCCTGTTACAAGCATAATCGCCTGTGACGGCAAGCAAGGGTTGCTGAAGACATATTCTAACCCGGGTCTTCACGGTTGCTCGGATAACGACATCAGAAGTGGGGTTAACTGCCCTGTAGGAGCATAAAGGGTGACGAATATACAAGGTCATTCGGCGTGCATCCCAAGGCAAGTGTAGCTTACAGACTGCGGCGTATAGTGAGTGAGTGAGTTTGGGTTTAACGCCGAAAGTCTTGAACGTATACCAGTTTGTTGAAGTCAATCAGTAGGAATATGTGATGAGTAAGGATCAAAAACAGGATGAAACTATGATTCGAATGGACGGTCAGTGGATCCTGGCAAAGTTAAGGGACGCAACCCTGCGCTGCGATTTGAGCATTCACGCTCTATCACGTGTGTCTCTGGGAATACGGCAGCAGAGTCATTAATATTTTTCCACATTTCAGAAACTACAACCTCACCTACTACATCAGCCACAACATCCGTAACCACATCACCTACTACGTCGGCATCCACATCGCCAACAACGTCTCCCACAACCTCGGCCACCACTTCACCTACCACATCAGCCACAACTTCGCCAACAATCTCGGTGACTACTTCAGTGACCACGTCTGCAACAACATCTGCCACAACATCGGCAACAACCTCGGCTACCACATCAGCAACGACCTCGGCTACCACATCAGCAACAACTAGTCGTGAGTAGCTAATCGACCCTTCTTGTTTTTTGTTGTTTTTCGGGACTGAACTACACGTCAGTAAACAACCTAGCTTGGCCATTGTAATGATAATGATTCTTCCTCTTCTTAAGCAACGACATCTCCAACTACCTCAGCAACGACATCCTCAACAACTTCAGCAACAACGTCTCCAACAACCTCCGCAACGACCTCCCTGACAACTTCAGCAACAACGTCCCCGACAACATCGGCAACAACATCCGAAACTACATCTGTAACCACTTCAGCAACAACGTCCCCAACAACCTCAGTAACTACATCCCAAACAACTTCAAAGACAACATCTCCAACGACAAGTCGTAAGTACATACATTCATTTCTTAAACAAACATGCACACATGTATAAAAAAGCTCTTTTAATACTGTGATTTCATATCGCCATCAGCCACAACATCGATAACAACCTCACAGACAACCTCAGCAACCACCTCTCCTACAACCTCTGCCACAACCTCTGCTACAACGTCTGCCACAACATCAGCCACAACCTCTGCAACAACCTCAGCCACAACTTCTGCAACAACGTCTGCAACTACCAGTGGTAATTACTACCTCATTCTATTGAATATCCGTCGTTTAATGTTGGGGAACCAGAATATGATATGGTCCGGCTTAGATCTTGATGTTTGGACTTAGTTTGGTTTGTGTTTTAGTCAAAGGTGAGTTGGTGTGGTTTTCAGATTGTTGTTTTTATGTTCTTTGTACTTCATGTCTTACGCTTGGTTTACGGATTCGACAATCTTAAAAATCGACAATTCAGAAAAAATATAAATCAGAAAGGTTTTTTTTCTACCGCCGATGGTAATGACCTCATTGACAATAAACGTGACAATGAAGCACCGCTGTCAGATTTAGATAACAAAATATCTATAAAGACCCTAACCAGATTTTGTTTTTTTATTACCTGCCGGAACAAATAAAAATTCGGGTACATGTATTTTATTTGTTTCGACCTACCGACCACATCAAAATCAGTCAACCAAAACAAGAGGGCCTTATTGACAAAAAATACCTAACACAAAGAATGTTTTGAAGTTTTCCTCCTTAAGAATCTCGGTAGTGGAGTGAGTGAGTGAGTGAGTATTACGCCGCTTTTAGCAATATTCCAGCAATATCACGGCGGGGGACACCAGGAATGGGCTTCACACATTGTACCCATGTCAGGAATCGAACCTGGGTCTTCGGCGTGACGAGCGAACGCTTTAACCACTAGGCTACCCGACCGCCCCCTCGGCAGTGGAAGATGGAAGGGGACCTCTTCCAAAGGTAGTAACGTTGCAGTTTAAACATTTCGGAACGCATTGGGCGGCGTTTCCAACAAACATGTTCACAATATCGCCTTCTCTTTACTTCAGCTACCACATCTGCAACAACGTCAGCAACAACCTCACCCACAACGTCGGCAGCCACATCTGATACAACTAGCCGTGAGTGCTTGAATTATCAAGAATGATTCAAAACATCTCCTTTTGTAAACTGAGAGATTTCAAAATACATGTACAGGCTCAAAGGAGTTTTGTCCCTTTTATGTATCAGGATCCGCTGATCGTAAGTTTGAAACACGATTTGCCTTGCTGACGAACCTTGGTCTTTCACCATATCCACGTATGTCTGGTTTTATCAAATCAACGACCTGCTTAACTTGGGTCGTTTTCTCACACTATCATTTTACTGAAATACAGTTGCTTGTTCGTTTGTTCGTTCGTTCATTTGTTCGTTAATTCGTTCGTTCGTTCGTTTGTCTGTTGTTTAACGCTGCACAATATTCAAGCTATATGTCGACCTTGGCCAGTAAATAATCGAGTTGGATCAGACAATTCAATGATTGATATTACGAGCAACGTCCCACTACGGCGTTGATATCAGGAACGTCACCGGGAGTGACTTCCCTGTTCCAGACAGTCACCTCTTACGACAAACATAGGTTACGGAGGTCCGATTCTGACCGGACAGTTAAAATCAGGGATAAACTAAACTCCCCACCGCCAAAGCGTAATCCCTCACGGGAATCAAATGTATTTTCTTACACTTTATCAGCTACCACGTCGCCAACAACATCAGCTACAACATCCGTGACGACTTCAGCAACCACGTCAGCTACTACATCCAGGACAACATCTGCGACCACTTCAGCGACCACCTCTGCAACAACATCAGCTACCACAAGCGGTAAGCAGGGAAATAACATTATCAACCAGCTTCGAACCATCCTGGGCCCACTTGCACAAAGCGATCTTAGCGCTACAACTATTGTAAGCCTATATTAAAGTATGGGAGTTAAGATCATCTTAGCGCTAAGATCGCTGTTGCAAGTGGACCCTGGGTGTACTTGTAGCCGAGTGATAAGAGGCGTGCGGGGTTCGATTCTGTATATGGGTACAATGAGTGAATCCCCATCATGATATCTCTGGAATATTTCTGAAAGCGGCAGACCCGGGTTCGATTCCCGACATGGGTACAATGTGTGAAGCCCATTTCTGGTGTCCCCCGCCGTGATATTGCTGGAATATTGATAAAAGCGGCGTAAAACCATACTCACTCACTCACTCACTCTGAAAGCGGCGTACAACAATACTCACTCCATCCCCTCGTTCAGTGTTTGAAATAGTTGATTGTCTGGTGGTAAGTGTTGCATGTTTCTCTTCTACAGCTACTACGTCTCCCACCACATCAATTACAACATCTGCTACAACATCACCAACTACCTCTGCTACCACGTCACCTACGACTTCACCTACGACGTCTATAACAACCTCTGCTACCACATCACCTACAACTTCAGCAACCACGTCACCTACAACATCAATAACAACCTCTGCTACCACGTCACCTACGACTTCACCTACAACGTCAATAACAACCTCTGCTACCACATCACCTACGACTTCACCTACAACATCTATAACAACTTCTGCTACCACATCACCTACGACTTCACCTACAACGTCTATAACAACCTCTGCTACCACGTCACCTACGACTTCACCCACAACGTCAATAACAACCTCTGCTACTACATCAGCTACTACCTCTGCTACCACTTCACCTACGACGTCACCTACAACGTCAGTTACAACCTCTGCTACCACATCAGCTACTACCTCTGCTACCACGTCACCTACGACTTCACCTACAACTTCAATAACAACCTCTGCTACCACATCAGCTACTACCTCTGCTACCACATCACCTACGACTTCACCTACAACGTCATTAACAACCTCTGCTACCACGTCACCTACGACTTCACCTACAACGTCAATAACAACCTCTTCTACCACGTCACCTACGACTTCACCTACAACGTCAATAACAACCTCTGCTACTACATCTCCTACGACTTCACCTACCACGTCACCTACAACTTCAGCAACCACGTCACCTACGACTTCACCAACAACGTCAATAACAACCTCTGCTACCACATCACCTACAACCTCTGCTACCACGTCACTTACGACTTCACCAACAACGTCAATAACAACCTCTGCAACCACATCAGCTACTACGTCTGCTACCACATCACCTACGACTTCACCCACAACGTCAATAACAACCTCTGCTACCACATCACCTACAACCTCTGCTACCACGTCACCGACGACTTCACCTACAACGTCTGTTACAACCTCTGCAACAACATCACCTACAACTTCAGCAACCACGTCACCTACGACTTCACCTACAACGTCAATAACAACCTCTGCAACAACATCAGCTACTACCTCTGCAACCACGTCACCTACGACTTCACCAACAACGTCAATAACAACCTCTGCTACCACATCAGCTACTACCTCTGCTACCACGTCACCTACGACTTCACCTACAACGTCAATAACAACCTCTGCTACTACGTCACCTACGACTTCACCTACCACGTCACCTACAACTTCACCTACAACGTCTATAACAACTTCAGTAACCACGTCACCTACGACTTCACCCACAACTTCAATAACAACCTCTGCTACCACATCACCTACTACCTCTGCTACCACGTCACCTACGACTTCACCTACAACGTCAGTTACAACCTCTGCAACCACATCACCTACTACCTCTGCTACCACGTCACCTACGACTTCACCAACGACGTCCAAAACTACCTCCGCCACAACGTCCGTAACAACCTCAGCAACGACGTCAAAAACAACATCGCCGACAACATCGGCAACAACAACGGACCCCTTCAACTGCGTGTACTCCTGTCCTGTTGGGGGTGCCACTCAGGTGTATGCGGTCTGTAATTCGGGTTGCTTCATCTATTGTGTCGACGGAAACGAGATCAGTCGTAACTGTGCAAATTTCAATTTCATGTCCTAGAAAAGCAAGACTATATTATTCGCTATATAAATTAGCCACATTAATTCAATAACTAACCGTGTTGGAGTCAACAATAAACTATGGGACTTTCGGCCCTAGACAGGGTGTTTGAGAAAGACACGGATGACAGGAATACGTATCTTACCTTACACATGAATGGTTGGCTGAGACCCATTCTATTATTTTCAATGTACCCCGCTAACATGTAAAGAATATCCTTATGTTCCTTGCTAGAACTGCCGAACTGTTGACATTACATTTGCCACATACCAACCCAAATTTTGTATCTCGAATTAATGATGTTAGACGCCATTCTCCGGAATGTTACGATATTTTTCGAATAAAACAGATCTAGGGGGAATAACTCTATGTTTGATTTCTGTCGTCTGCTATTTTTCGAGTGAGTGAGTGAGTGTGTTGGGTTTAACGCCGCGTTTAACAGTATTCCAGTTATATCACGGCGTGTCAGCTTAATGTGGGAGGAAAGCCCGCAGTGAAGCAGGTCTCAGACGTTTACCACTTCGGTGAAACCCACGAGGACGGGTATGGTGCTGACAAACCTAGAAACATAATTGAGCCGAACCGGGATTCGAACCCACAATCATAGGTTTCTGGCGTGCCCGAGGGACGCAACTCTGCACAGCGAATCGCGGCGCCTTAGACGACTGGGCCACCCTATTTCTCGATGAATGTGAAACATGAACGAAAGGGGTGAATGCTAAACTGTGATATTCTTACTGAATCGGCCCAGAATATACATATCTAAGACATACCTGCAATATAATAGTGAGTGAGTGAGTGAGTATTGTTTTACGCCGCTTTTAGCAATACCCTCAGCAATATCACGGCGGGGGACACCAGAACTGGGCTTCACACATTGTACCCATGTCGGGAATCGAACCCGGGTCTTCGGCGTGACGAGCGAACGCTTTAACCACTAGGCTACCCGACCGCCCCCTGCAATATAATAAGGTTTGCGGTAAGAAATATCCGTTGTCCACTGGTACCTTTGGTGACATGGGTTGATGGACCCTGTTTGTTAGTTTGCGACCCCGATGGTACATTAAGGGTCAGCTCATGTCCCCCTCGACACTGCTGGACAACTTACAATATGTATGTGTTATTTAACGCTGCACCCAACTTTCAACCCAAGGTTCTGATAGTTCCAGCGAACCTTATTACAGTTCAGACTGCACGCCATGTGACGCCCTGTTGGGGCGGGGCGAGATGGTATAATACTGTTAACCTTCTAGCGCCTAATGGGCAGCTTGGGTTGTATACTCCCCAGGAAGCTGAAAGTACTCTACGACCAAATATGTCTTGCATGATAATCACATCTGCAATAACCACAACAACTGCTACTGCAGCTGTTTGTGTTTGTTGTTTAACGCCGCATTCAGCAATATTCCAGCGAGATGACGGCGGCCTGTAAATAATCTAGTCAGGATAAGACAATCCAGTGATTGATATTATGTGCATCGATCCACGCAACTGGGATACGATGACACGCATCAACCACGTCAGCGAGCCTGACCACCCGATCCCGTTAGTCGCCACTTACGTCAAGCATAGTCGCCTTTTACCTCAAGCAAGGGTTGCTGAAGACCTATTCTACCCCGGATCTTCACGGTTACTACTACTACTACTACTACAACTACTACTACTAGTAGTAGTAGTAGTAGTAGTAGTAGTAGTAGTAGTAGTAGTAGTAGTAGTCCCATGGGAAATTTTTGGTAAGAGAGAGCGACTAAATTGATCGGGTGGTCAGGTTCATTGACTTGGTTTATAGGGTGTCATCGTACCCCGACGGGGTAGATAGTTGCTCATATCATTCACTGGATTGTCTGGACCAGATTCGATAATTGTTTAGGTCCCCGTCATATAGCTAGAGTGAGTGAGTTGTGTTATATGCGAAGTCCTGCAACATACTGGATATAGCGAATGGATCTGTGGTATTATAGACATAATACCCTGTATATTCGAGGATGAGTAAGAAGATATTGTGTTAGACACAATTTGATATAAGTGAGTGTGTGAATATAGTTTACGCGGCTTTTAAATATACACAAGCCACACATAGTGAGGTGTGAGTTGGGTTTAACGCCGCTTTTAACAGTATTCAAGTTATATCACGGCGTGTCAGCTTAATGTGGGAGAAAAGCCCAAGTGAAGCAGGTCTCAGACGTTTACCACTTCGGTGAAACCCACGAGCACGGGTATGGTGCTGACAAACCTAGAAACATAATCGGGGTGAACCGAGATTCGAACCCACAATCATAGGTTTCTGGCGTGCCCAAGGGACGCAACTCTGCACAGCGAATCGCGGCGCCTTAGACGACTGGGCCACCCGTGCCCCTTCAGTGTGAGGAATCGAACGCGAACGCTTTAACCACATGGCCCCCACAACAAATAAGTCAGTCAGCACAAGGAGCAATGGAAGCCTAGTGACACAAGGGTAAAGGAATTGGATTTTCGCTCACTTGACTCACCCGTCGTCCGACGAATCCCATTTTCAATATGGCCACGGAAGCCATATTGAAAAACCTATTTGTGGTCATTACTCATTTTTGTTCAAATTGGAAAAACATTCTCGCACTGTAAACCCTGTATCAAATAATAAAGAAAAAGTTGACGAACGATGCTGAAACGTCAAGTGATTTTTCCCACGAATGATGGCACCTAAATTCAAGTGGTTTGAATCCGATTTTCACATATTGAAAAAATGTATACATGGCTACACTCTAAACCAAAGTGTTCTACTTCTGAACACTAGACAGAACACATGAATATAACACTTTTAGAACGCGTCCATGTGTTCTGAAAATATTGATGTTCTCGGCCCAGAACAGGTGTGTTCTACAAACATATTACTAACGTTTCAACGTGTTCTGACGATGTAACACTTTTAGAACGTCTGTAAAGATTCAGGACACTACACGTTAAAATCAGACACGTGCTTCCACAGTACAGAAATATAATAATACATAGATTTAGAGTGTATTACTCAGTCATTTTTGTTCACGCTGGAATAGAATTTGGTTCATGAGTAGTTTGTATTGGGGCTCCACATGGATGTTCCGTCTTTCACTATATTCTAAATTTAACTTTGATTTGACCCTTGCCCTTTGACCATACTGAAAGCTGAAACAGTTTATGGTCATTACTAAAACATTTTCTTTCAAAATTTAATCAAATGTAATGTATGTGTACTTAGTGGTACGTATATAGCTAGCATTGCAGACAGAGTTAAAAAGCTATTTATGGCTAGTACTCGTCAGGTTTTACACAAAATGGACTCAAATTTGGTATTTGTTTAGTTTGTTGTGGGATTCAACACGTTTGAACATCTGAACACCAATACTGACAGCAACGTTTATTAAGTGTTGACTACATGAGATGAGCTTAAATGACGTGGCACTATTTTAAGAATACAGGGCGATCTTCGACTTAAAAAGGTGTATTTGTGCCCAACAAAAACTGTTTTTTGTACTCATATTATTTATTACATATCTTGACGTTACTTTGCTCAAAAGCTGTTAGACCAGGGTTACAACATTCAAGGCCTTAGTTTTCAGAACGTTTATGGTAGACACGAGGAGGACATTCTAAATTTGACACATCGGTGACCAAAATGATGCTATTTCCTATTTTGACTTGTACCATATGTTAATATTTGTTCAGGTGAACACTTGACTCGCCCTTGCATGTGTTTGTGACGGATGCCACCGGTGGGGTAGGATACTCTCACCTTTTCGCGAACACCAGGTATCAACACTATTTGATCGTGGTTCATAAACATATACACCTGTGACGATCCGGGGTAGAATAGGTCTTCAACAACCCATGCTTGCAGTAAGAGACGACTTTGCTTGTCGTAAGAGGCGACTGACGTGGTCGGGTGGCCAGGCTCGCTGACTTTGTTGATGCATGTCATCGTATCCCAATTGCGTGGATCCATGCTCATGATATCAATCACTAGATTGTCTGGTCAAGAATTGAGAATTACAGACCGCTGCCATATAGCTGGAATATCGCTGGGTGCGGTGTTAAACAACAAACAAACAAATAAATACACGAGAATGGTGTGATCGGGATCGTACAATGGAGGAGGTGGTCCGAGTCACAACAGAGAGAATCTCACCCAAGTGCTTCCCAGATCAAATATATCAAGACTCGTTGATACAAAAAGTTACAAATATCCGACGCTTGTATTTTATATAATACATAATGTACACATAACTCCAAAGCAATGGTAGTGAGTGCGTGAGTGAGTTGGGTTTAACGCCGCTTTTAACATTATTCCAGTCATATCGCGGTGTCAGCTTAATGTGGGAGGAAAGCCGGAAGTGATGCAGGTCTCAGACGTTTACCACTTCGGTGAAACCCACGAGCACGGGTATGGCGCTGACAAACCTAGAAACATAATTGGGGCGAACCGCGATTCGAACCCACAATCATAGGTTTCTGGCGTGCCCAAGGGACGCAACTCCGCACAGCGAATCGCGGCGCCTTAGACGACTGGACCACCCGTGCCCCCCAAAGCAATGGTATTTGAGATTTCACACTTATCATATTGGAACATATTACATCAACTTGTGATGAAATAAAATATAAATGTATGTTAGCTCAAATATTTATAAAATATTAGTCAAACGTCAGTACAGAGAGCAAACGAATAATCATATACCAAGCTTGTACCCGTATGTGAGTGAGTTCGAAGGTCTTCGCGGCCCTTTGAGCTATATCACGGTCCTTGTTCCATTTGCAGTCTAGTTAAGGGTGGCGTTGTACAAAGGATCTTGGCACTAAAGTGATTATAACCTCCATACCTTAACATAGACTTACGACAGTCGTAGAGCAAAGGTTATTTTGCGGAACGGCAACCACCACGTCATAAACACGACGTGTGAAACTGGCATACTCTAGGTTGATATACAGTATACCGTTTGTGTGGGACAACAAATCTTGCTCAGAATGTATATTCCTACTATAATGTGAGGGAACCCCCACCCCCATCCCCACCCCCACACCTCCCCACCACACCCCCAACATAACGCAGGGCGTATATATATATACGTTCAGCGCTAAGGGGAATCCCCGAGCACCAGTATGGTACTTAGAGAGCAAAAATCATCACAGAGTGAATCTGGAATTCGAACCAAGACCGTCTTAATGAGGAATAAAATCTTACCCACTCACTCACTTAGACGCAGACACCATTTTAATGTTTTGGATCTCGTGCGCGTTGGATTTTGACAAGTCCAAATGCATATCGAACGATTAATTAATATTTTCTTTGGTACAGTCTATACATGTATGAATTCATCGAATTTCAAATAATGTTCTTTTAACCTTCACCTCAAATTCAGTTACTGAGTGAGTGAGTAAATGTTGCTTAAGCCGCATCAGCAATATTCCAGCTATTCGCGGCTTCAGTTACTGAAATGGCTCAAACAGATAGTTCTCCAAAACAAATGCTTGTAAAATGTTATGTTGGTGAATAAGATAATGAAACACTTAAAATAATTACAAAATATTTCGCAGAAAAGAAAACTGTTGTTAACGGTTAAAAGATGGAATTTCTACAACTCTGAGATATGAACAGACAACAAAAGACATGAGCCGTTTTGAACTCTGAACTGCAGACGAGAGCAGGAAGACTTTGCACGATTTTCACACGATTGTGTCATTCGCGCACGCGCGAAGAGGCATTTTGTCCTCAGTCGTCAGTCGAGTCGGCACGAGAGAGCACGTGGACAGCACACGTGGTGAGTTTTCTGATGAACATTGCTACTGTTAATTGTTGAAATCTTGCAACATGTCTGAACAAAGCATCATTTACGTTAGCGCAATACCTGAAGAATTTTTCAACAAAGAATTACTAAGCCGTACTGCTGACATCCTTTGCATTGAAGGAAAATTCGACAAGGACTGTGTGTTCCGGTATTTGGAGAGTAAGAATCTCCATAAGAGCGTCGAAGCATTTGTCCGTACGTCCATGATACAGAAATGGGCATTAACTTTCAACGACAAGTCGGCCCTGGAGGAACTGTCAAAGTTATCCCCGTTCAGTTCGGAGGGTTCTCGCTACAGCGTCTCGCCCCACCAGGGGGCTCAGTACGCGCTCCGCATCCATCGCCTTCCTCCGCGAGTCCCCGACACACTCGTCGCCCATGCGCTGAAAGAATACGTTGACAAGGTGGTGAAGATAACGAGAGAGAAGGTCGACTACAAACGCCGCAAGCCGCGAGTTGTTCGGAACGTTCTGGTAGAGATGAATTGGTTTCAACTCTGCAAACTGCCCCATCGGATTGAAGTCCAAACACACGAATGTCTTATTACCCTGCGAGACAGGGAGTCTATGTGCCTCTACTGCAAACATATTGGGCACATCCGACGACAGTGCCCGTACGAGAGGGACAGGGGCCCATTCCTGATTCCAATCGAGAGTCCAGATCACCCTAACACGACCATCTACGTCACTAAAGATTCGCCTCTTGCAAGACGTGCTGCCAAAACTCATAAAGTGGGAGCCAGATCCTCGCCCAATGGAGCCCGGAAACCAAGAAACAAAACCCAAGTTCCAGCATCGAGCACACCAAATGTTGAAGACAAGGATCGGAAAGAATCGGCTCCAGATGTTTTTGGAAAAGTCCGCAAGCTGCTCAGAGCCAAGGATAACCCTTTCTCTGTGTGGCCACTGTTTGGTGCCTTCGTGGAGCCAACACGCAAGCGTAGGATTGACTTGCGCTGGTCCCTGCCTCGACACTTTGCCCTCAGTTTGTAAGAACTGTTTCAACCAAGTGATGGCATTTTTTCCATTTACATCAACTCTGATAATGTAATATTATGGAAGTATATTTCTGATTCTATGAAAATCATTTTAATTTGTATTCGAAAGACTTTTTTTTTTCTATTTTCTTGCCAATTTCATGTAATGCTACATCCAGCTGTCCAAAATGTCGGACTTGTAATGGACAAGACAGTCCAAAGATGGACTTAAAATGTTGAGTTATTTTAATTTATTTTATCATTTCACGATTTGTTGGACATTTTATTTGTATGTTTATGTACAAAACAGGCTTGTTGAAATCTGATTTTATAATTAAGGGACAACTTTACACTTGTTCTGTTTGAACCAATCTTATATTTGCAATAAACACTTAATTACATGTTGAAAGTGTTCATAACTTCTGTTACATAGCCAAGGAATCATGGAGTTCCCTGGGGCACCATGGAATGGTCAAGTTATACAAGACCGAGAACGCCCTGGGATTTTGGGTCGGAACAGGTGCCAAAGAGTCGGTGCTTGACCCAAGTAACGGGATCTGGGTTAAAATAGGTCTTCAGCAACCCCTGCTTGCCATAAAAAGCAACTATGCTTGTAAGAGGCGACTAAAACGGAATCAGATGGTCCGACTCACTGACTTGGCAGGTGCATGTCATTGTATCCCAATTGCGTAGAGCGATGCCCATGTCAATAACTGGATTGTCTGGGGCAGACTCGATTATTTAAAGACTGCCATCGAATAGCTGGAATATTGCTGAGTGCCCGTAAAACAAATGAGTAAAAGATCAGGTGGCTACATTGTTAGACTTGTTGCTTGTCAGGCCCTAAAGATGTGCTAATGCTATCAAACACTGGTTTACCTTATTCAAGACGCATTTGGATTTGGCCATGATTCAGATTGCACATCAAAATAGTGCAACGGCACTATAGCTCACCAGGATATGTAGTAAACAGTATATAGAATGTAAACAACCACTTAAAACAAAACATAGGCTACCAACAGGATTGGGTGGTAATGATCACTGACTTGGTTGATGCTCATGTCAGTCACTGGATTGTCTTGACCAGATTCAACAGACCGTAGTATAGCTGAAATATTGCGGAGAACGGCTTTGTACAAGAAATAAAGTTACTGACAGCATTGCCACTCAAATGTTTTGCAAAATTACCGAGGACTAAAGTATAAACAAATATGAAGTAACTATCCTACATGTACAATGTTTCTAAACCTGCAAGAATGAAAGTACCATATTTTGTTGAGTATAATGTGCACACCTCTCTAGTAGATTCAGAATTTTTTTGGGGAAAAAGAAATCGTACATATGTCCAGATATACAATGAACACTTTTTAGAACCAGACGGTGTAATTACATGATTAATTTGCTTACTTCAGTACGAATTTATTGACATGGTATTTCCGCTGTTACGTGCTCACGGTAATGTCTTTGCGTTTGGTGAAAAACCCATTATGGCGTGTATAATGCGCATCCCCTTCTACATAGCTTTCTTTCTTTAATTTAGTTTCAAACCCATGGAGAAGTTTCTGAAGCATACACATTCTCCAATTGTATCTCAAAACAGTAAAATACTAATGAGTCCTCATGAGGAGAACCACACATGCCAAACTTCAGCATCCTCACTCTGGCAATTTCAGAGATGTTCACAATGAAAAAGCTGCCTTTTGTCATAAGAGTATTACCATACCTTTTGAGCTGAAATGGCCATATTTGAAAATCAGATGGTTTACTGGTGTGAAGTTTCATCATCAGTGGTTTCTGAGATGTTTACAGTGAGAGGAAATGCATTTTCAGTGAATTTAGGAGCATGGTTACAAGGTCAAAATCTATATTATCAGGAAACAAAATGTGACTTTTGAGCCCACAAACTACACACTTACCGAGTTGCATTACATTACACCCTCTTGTCTCCTACCCCAGCCACTCAACAGTAACCCAAATCCCTCAACTAGGACCCCAGCAACTGAGCCCTCGCCTCCTCGGCACCTGCCCCCCTCAGCACAACCCCAGAAGCCAAACCCCCTCAACACACCCACCGTAAGAGGCGACTAACGGGATTGGGTGGTCAGGCTCGCTGACTGGGTTGTTGTTTAACGCCGCACTCAGCAATATTACAGCTATATTACGGCGGTCTGGACCAGACAATCCAGTGACTTTGTTGAAGAATGTCTTGGATCCCAATTGCGTGGATCAATGTTCATGATATTAATCACTGGATTGTCTGGTCCAGACTCAATTATTTACAGACCGCCGTCACATAGCTGGACTATTGCTGAGTGCGGCGTCAAACAACAAAACAACACTCCCACCCCATCCAAGACATGACACAAGACTGCAAGTGTAAGACACTGTTTTATATTTGACAACACATTATATACAGTTGAGCTTCTAACAGAGCACTGAATCTGTACAACTTCAGACATGCATAGGACTGGTGAAATGCTGACAGGACTTACAGACCCTAGCATGGCAGTGAATAAATAGCAAACTTACAAAACACTGATCGCATTGGCTTCATTCTTCATGTCATAGACTACGCCCAAGTCAGCCGAAGCTGTTTTCTCAAGTTTAAAACCCCATATTGTTTGGTAATGGATATTTTGGAAATGTATGACAAAACCTATACAATATAAATTACATTTTTGCCCAAAATTTCCCAAATATTCTTTGATCATACACTCATTTTCTTCGATTGCAGTAAGAAATGTGTGGACAAATAGTAATAAAATGACAAAACATGTATAAAGAGAAAGAAGTAGCAGAAATGTGATCTTCTATGATGTAACAAAACAATGGGAAATATGCTCATTTCTCTGGAAAAAAATGGAACTCTCATTCTCTTCAATTTTTTTCTAAAATTCATCTTCATGAGAACCCTGTTAGGGTGAAAACAATATATACAATCACAAATAAAACATAACCTAAAAACAGACAAACATGGTCCTGATGAACAAACTCGTACTGTTCATATTTTCACCATAATAATGTTCCGGTACTCCTAAATGTAACCATGGTAACATTCTAAACAAATTACATAAAACAAAGTCAGCACAAGTTGCATGTAAGGGTGTTAGTCTTTATCAGACTAGAATCACAGAAATTGTATTGCACATGTCAGTACATAATGGAATACCTATCTACACAAATATTCTACAGTGTACAACAGAATTCTTTCAAAAATTGTCTAATTTTGTTGTCTTTAGTGTAATATGTCGGTCAAAGAGAAATATTTATATTAGAATTAGTGAGTTGGGTTTAACGCTGCTTTGAACAGTCTTTCAGTTATATCACAGTAAGTTATTAATATTCCCTTAAATCTAAAACCAATTTTGTCTTTCCTTCCTTGATCAAAGTAAAATACTAAGGAAGGAAGTTTCTCCTACACAGGATATATTGGACATCATCTCAACCTGGACTAAATATACATATATATATATATACCGTACAATCAAGGATAGAATGCTGTTGTACAATATTGTACATGTAACAAATACATACAACCTCGGCACTATCTACTTGCAACAACCTACCTGCCATTGTGCCAACTCATCACATCAAAGAATTGGATATAACATTCTTCAACAACCTGATAGTAAACGTACAAAATAATAATACTTCGTATTCATGAAAACAGTTACCATAGATACACAATACTTCAGAACCTGAAGTAAAAGCTTTGGGTAATAATTGATCGGAGCCACAACATGCTACATGTCACTTCTATGCCTGTAGATCGGTCTCTTGAAGAAAATTGTTCAAATATATTCTTGTTTCTCAGATTCCCAACTTTCTCAAACATTGTTAAGAATACATTTTTCAATGAAATTTCATTTAAGCAGGAGATTCTAACTTATTGCACTATCCATGCCTTCCACTGACCTTGTGTCCATCTCTTCGAATTCCATGCAACAAAAGGTCATGTTTACTTACATGGATTTGTAACTACTCAAAAATACATTAAAAAATATTAATCATCCCTCCCTCTAACATCAATTTGGAAAAAGTCATGAGAAACAAAAATATTTCTGAACTGGCCTAACATCAAATGTTCAGTATGACATCTTACTATGCCTACTACACATCAGAATATCCTGTCTGTCTAGAAGATGGGAATGTGAACTCCCAGGCAAAACCCATCACACCATGCAAAGTAAGTCAAACCCTATTATCAGGGATTCTACCATGCCATTGAAGAATATGTGATTCCTACTGGCGTTCACTTCCAAATTAAAATAAGAGGTTTCAAATACAGTGAGATTACCTCAAATTTCAAAACAGTTACCTCCGAACTGTACCCTTTCCAGTTGAACTGTTCCGATTAGCAAACTTCCAGTAACCCCTTTACATGTATGTAGATGACTACAACTGTCCAGAAGGTGCAGGATCCAGACTAACAGGGTTCCATTTTACTTGATGGAGTAAGTGGGTGACAGGGGATACCAGAAATGGGCTTCACACATTGTACCCATGTTGGGAATTGAACCCGGATCTTCGGCTTGACGAGCAAACGCTTCAACCACTTGGCTACCCCACCGCCCATTACTTGATGGATGTGTTGACATCTAGTCAAAACAGTTTGGACATATTGGCTTATAACACTTTCTACCGTAACAACTTCAGCATGGAATGGCAATCCTTAAAACCAGGGCTATACCCACTTGGATCTTGTTTGTTTCTTGTGGTTTGTTTTACAGAGGTCTGTGAAACTCAGAGCACAGTATGGTGCTCACAAACCTAGAAACAGAATCAGTTTGAACCGGGATTTGAACCCACGATAAAAGGTTTCTGGAATGGCCATGGGACGCAACTCTGCACAGTTAATTACAGCGCCTTGGACGACTGGGCCTTCCTTGACCCCAGCCTAGTTTTAAGGGTGAGTGAAGTTATCATGATAAGAATAAATACATATTGAAGTTTATATTAAATGGGAATGTGTAAATTGATAATATATGTACATCATAAACATAAATGGACACATTAAGGTGCTAATTACCTTAAAAATTGAGTAAAACATTATGAATATATGAAATTGGAATTAAAGAGAAGAGTGTGTGTTTCAAAGACTGTTTTAGAGTTAAAGTACAGTAAGAAATCATTGGCTATTCTGCCTGTGCTACAGTGACATAAAGCTTGTGAACCGTTGTCTTTAATCCAGGACTCCAGTTTTCGACATCTTTGGGTTGGTAATTCAGACTTTCTTCTCACTGAGACTTACTCAGGTTGTCATCTTGTACAGTGAAACCCTGTTACCTCTGGCCACTTATTACGTCGAATACGGTACCTCAAGGACCTGGGTGGGATATATCCAGACATCATAGTCTGAGACAAGGAGTGAGTGAATGAGTTTGGTTTAACGCCGCTTTGAACAGTATTCCAGTTATATCACGGCATGTCAGCTTGATGTGGGAGGAAAGCCTGAAGTAATATTTACCACTTTGGTGAAACCCACAAACATGGGTATGGTCCTGACAAACCTAGAAACATAATCAGGGGGAACCGGGATTCGAACCAAAGATGATAGGTTTCTGGTTTGCTCAAGGGACACAACTCTGCACAGTGAATTGTGCCGCTTCAGACGGCTGGGCCAATCTCAATATTACATTACACAACATATTTGGATTTGACCAGAACCATCAGATAACATAGTCTGAAACAAAACATGTCAACTTCCTAAAGATGTTTTTAACGAGTTTCACTGCACCTTCAATGTAAACTCAGGAGTGAGTGAGTGGGGTTTAATGCTGCTTTGAATTGTACTTCAGTTACATCATGGCTTGTCAGCTGTTAACCAATCTGGTGACACCCACAAGCACGGGCACGGTGCTGACAAACCGAGAATAATAATCAGGGCGAATCTGGGATTCGAACCCATGATCATAAATTTCCTGGCTTAAGGCACACAACTGCTCAGCCTGCACCTTAGACAACTGGGTCACAGCACTTCCTTCTTAGGAATGAGTTAACAAAGATTTCACTGTTTAAACATGTCATTTCAGTTCCGTAAATCTGTGTATGTATGTTATCCCATCTGAAGTTAGCAAATGTCCAACGGTAGCCCTGGTGTACTACACAGCTTCACAGCACCACTGATGCTTGCAGGCAGGATATAACAGCTAGAGCCCTAGAAGAGTGTGGCTAGTGGTCCCTTTGTCTGCACACGTCCTGGTGTGCGGTCCCAGCTGGGTCACGGGGTGCACGGTTCAGCAGCTGACGTCACGCAGGTCACTCAGGAAGCCTTCTGGGGTCAACACACTCGTCGCACCTGGGAGTGAAGACAGGCATTATTGAGTGGTGGGTGAATGAATGGGAAAGAGTTGATGGGTGGGTTGGTATGAGTTAGTGAGTGGGTTTGTTTTGTTGGTTTGTTTTTTAATGCTACACCCAGTACTATTCCAGCTATATGAAGGCAATGTGTGAGAGAGTGAGTGTGTGAGAGAGTAAGTGTGTGAGAGAGTAAGTGCATTGTGTGTTTGTGGGAGAGAGAGTGTGTGTGTGTTTGTTTGTTTGAGAGAGACAGTGTGTGTGTGTTTATGTATGTGAGTAAGTGGGTGTGTGTTTGTGGATAGGTGTGGGAGAGTGTGTGTGTGTGTGTTTGTTTGGGAGAGAGAGAGACAGTGTGTGTGTGTTTATGTATGTGAGTAAGTGGGTGTGTGTTTGTGGATAGGTGTGGGAGGGTGTGTGTGTGTGTGTTTGTTTGTTTGGGAGAGAGAGAGACAGTGTGTGTGTGTTTATGTATGTGTGTAAGTGGGTGTGGGAGAGTGTGTGTGTGTGTTTTTGTTTGTTTGAGATAGAGAGAGTGAGAGACACAGAGAGACAGACAGTGTGTGTGTGTTTATGTATGTGAGTAAGTGGGTGTGTATTTGTGGGTGGGTGTGAGAGCAAGAGTATATGCATGAGAGTGTGTGTGTATGTGTGTGTGAGTGAGTGAGGGTGTGCGTGTGTGTGTGAGTGAGAGAGTGAATAAGTGGGTGACAGAATGTGTGAATGTGTGTGAGTGTATGTGTGAGAGTCAGTGTGCGGGTGAGAGAGTGTGTGCGTTTAAGAGAGAGAGAGAGTATCCTTTCCTTACTTAAATATGAACCATAAGATGTCTGTGTGAGTAGACACTGGGTTACTTCATTTAACACTGACGGTACACCAAATGATACGGTCACAACACTATAAGTTATCTATTTGATATTGATATTTAAAATAACAAATACAAAATGAAAATTACAATTGTGTGTTTCTTGGAAAATTTTGGTTCATACAAAGCCTAGGGGAGCCCATTATATGTAGCATAACCATCGACTGCCTGCATTGCCATTCTCACTTACCTATGAGGACTTCCCAGTTCTTGACTGACTGTGTGACTTCGTATGCACACCGCATCTCCGAGTACGTCATCCCCCCCATGATGAAGACCATGAGTCGAGGTCCGCTCCGAGCACTTGACTGACCCTTCTCCTTGTGCCAGTGGCCATATCGCGCGCTTGGAACACTGGAAGACAAGAAGCCAGTATAGAGTCTTCCATTTACAAATAAAGTGCATGTGATTCCATGGCATTTGATTCACTAATGAAGCAATATTTTTAGCATTTATGTTACCATAAATTTAAAAAATTAGGCCATGCCCACTAGCAGACTACTTTTGTAGGCTTGTGTTACGTTACTGCAATGATTGATGTCAGTGAATCGTGACATACACTTTAGTGTGTTAATGATTAAATAAGCAGTCTGGGAATTTATTATTGTTGATTTATTTTATTTATAAGAATTGATTTCAATATTTCTTGCATAATACAGAGCAGAGCATGTATACTGTTTTGTTGGTCATCTACCACCTACGACCTACGAGGTAGCGTTGTAGCGAGGGATCACTGTATATGTAAAATATAGCGTGCACACTTTGCATATATCCATCTTAAGTCAATTCTTAATTGAAGTCTCATCCTAAATACCATTGTAATCAATAAGGGTCAGTTTCAATGCTGTTTACGAGACAACACCCTGTAAGCGTGGCCAGAGTGGCCATTACCTTCGAGCAGACATGGCAGACCGTGACACGCCCCCGGACAGAAAGGTGAAGTGTTTCCCGTCCAGCTTCTCATCTATCGCATCCTGTAGCAACAGTAACAACAGTATGAACACCTGCTCCAGGAGATGATCTTACCTGGTTATACTAGAGCTGCAAACTTGTCAGTCAAAACATTCCCCAGACCTCAGGACTGGCTACATGAAAATCTCACCAGCCCTGTTCAAAGGATCATTTTGTCTGTTGCAATTATAACTAGATCTCCATAACTAGTGTAGGTAGTTGTCAGAACTTGGAAGAAAAATGTGGCCCGTCCATGATAAGTAACTTTTTTTTAATCTCGCCCATCCTTCATGGCATTAGCTCGTCAAGGATGGTGGGACTGATGGACATTTGTAAATCTGGTCATATTTACAAAACCACTTGTAGTCAAAGGAGGTGGTGAGGTGAAATGGGGTTTTACGTTGCGTCCAAGATTATTGCACTTATATCATGTATATAGTGACCTGCATGTACGTGTGTGTGTTTGTGTGGCTGCTTATACTAGTCCGGACTGATGCCGATTTATAGTGCTAGCTCACTGAGATACCATGCTGCAGTTTAACATGAATACCCCACTCAGACACAGTATACTGACTCCGAGCCGACCAGTCCTTGTTTTAGCCCCTTAATGCTGAGCGCCAGACAGGGTAACAACAAGGACCATCTTTTAACGTCTTTTGGTATGACGCGGCCGGGGATCGAACCCCGGACCTTCCGCTCTCCGGGCAGACGATCTACCTCTAGACAACGGAGACGGTCTGTAGTCAAAGGAACAGCCATGAGGAACTTATTAAATGTTATGTCAAAATCTCCCCTTGCTTTCATGGAACACTATTATCTCACCCAGGTATACTGATCAAATTTGCATAACTGCTCCATAATAACTGTAATACTTGCTCCATCTGGTAATAGCTATACTAAGCAAAAGAAGAACATCCGATTCTTTAACATTACATGGCATGATGTAGTAATATGAAAGAATCAGGTGCTCCTTAACTTCTTTTGAGAAGTATATTTCATAGGTTCCACATTTTATCATCCTTCTGCCAAACTGCCGGCATTGTAAGCTCCACACACTGATGGTTGTGGCCACAACTGAACCTTGTGCATATAAGCATTGGTTAGCAATGTTTGGAGTTTAAATCAAACAGGTCATAGTGACATGGATTTTTTACTTCCTTGGGCTAATCATATCATTCAGCATCATAACTTTAGGTGACTTTGGGAAAAATTGATGTTTAGATTAGTGCCCTCCTCAAGGGCTCCCCTCTTGTCTGAATCGAATCATCTAACCTCAGCACGTTGTACATGAGGGGTCATTAAGAATAACAGCTTGACAAACACATGGACATAGCGCATCCAGGAGGTATAAGTTTTCATAATCCCACGACTCTTCCAGAAATAGATGAGAGAGTGAGTTGGGTTTAATGCCGCTTTTAACATTATTCCAATTATATCAAGGCGTGGCAGCTTAATGTGGGAGGAAAGCCCGGAGTGATGCAAGTCACAGGCGTTTACTACTTCGGTGAAACCCACGAGCACAGGTATGGTGCTGACAAACCTAGAAACATAATCAGGGCGAATCAAGATTCGAACCCACAATCATAGGTTTCTGGCGTGCCCAAGGGAAGCAATTCTGCACAGCAAATCGCGGCGCCTTAGACGACTGGGCCACCCGTGCCCCCCAGGAATAGATGAACTCTGGCATACATGTGCAACTTGGGTCTGTATCAGAAGGAGCTCAGGCTATCTGGCACAAAATCCAACTTTCGGCCTGACTCTGTGTGCCTACCTCTAAAATGTCCTTGAGGTATGGCGTCCATCGTGAAAGCTGGTACGAGTGTTCGGCTGTCCTCTCCTTGCGGTTGTACGGCTGGTAGGGCTGGGCCTTGCGCCGTCCGCCCTGCAACACCAACCCTTGGTATAAACACACCATCACATTCTCACTCCTTCACACAAAACAAATCTCTCAGCAGTGAACCCATCATGTTGCTGGTCCCTGGGAAAACTTGACTGATTATAAAGGCTTCTTTGTGTAAACCAACATTAGAAACTGGCACTGGTCCTATAGTCCTTGCCAAACTGCCTAATAGTTATGGTATGATAAGGACAAGGAGAATTTTGCTATTTTTAAGGGTTTTGCTATATGTTATCATTATAAGGATTAGTGGACTAAAACTGTTAGTTTGTAATGCTGTTTAAACACTTCATATGTTTCTAAAACTAAGGTAGGAGGAGGTGAATAACATTTGAAAAAACAAAAACACTTTAAGTGACTTCGTAAAGGAATGTCAAAAGAAAAAGTGTTTCTTACAATGTTTGTTTTGTTTTTCTTGTTTATTGTTTAACGCTGCACTCAGCAATATTCCAGCTATATGACAGCGGTCTGTAAATAATCGATTCTGGACCAGATAATCATGGCATCATGAGCATCGATCCACGCAATTGGTGAGGTGAGGTGCGGGGAGGTGAAATTGGGTTTAACATCGGGTCCAATATTATTGCACTTATATAGGGACGTGCATGTATGGCTGCTTGTACTAGTCCGGACTGATGCCGATTTATAGTGCTAGCTCACTGAGATACCATGCCGCAGTTTAACATGAATACCCCACTCAGACACAGTATACTGACTCCGAGCCGACCAGTCCTTGTTTTAGCCCCTTAATGCCGAGCGCCAGACAGGGTAACAACAAGTACCATCTTTGAACGTCTTTTGGTATGACGCGGTCGGGGATCGAACCCCGGACCTTCCTCTCTCTTGGCGGACGCTCTACCACTAGACCACGGAGGCGGTACCACGCAATTGGGATATGAGGACATGTATCAACCAAGTCAGCGAGCCTGACCACCCGATCCCGTTAGTCGCCTCTTACAACAAGCATAGTCGCCTTTTACGTCAAGCATGCGTTGCTGAAGACGTATTCTACCCCCGGATCTTCACGGGTCGATAATCTTGACAATAGGGACTGTCAAATAAAAGGTTATGGATTTTTTTTAATATTGTTAAACATAGTTGATTCAGCTTTCTTTTTACAAATTTTCAGGTGATAATTCAATTCATTGCTCAAGAATATATTTAACAAGGGTTTTGTTTGTTGAGCAACAAATACACTAATAGTCTGTTTTCAATAAGTGTGATAAGATATGTTAGTATGCTAAGTGAATGAATATTGCTGCCAAGTCAATTTTCAGATAAATGTTGAAATATCAACAGTGTATTCAGATTAAAAAGGGTTTAGGTCAAGGTCAAGGTTAACATAAAGAGATGACCTTGACACAGGAGGCTTAATACGGCATGTCGTGATAACAAATGAAATGGGTGTATAAAGCATTATTGTAGTACTTCCCTGGCAAAATTTGATGTAAATATTGCAAATAAATACCGGGTATATAATAAACTAGGTCATGTCTGAAAAAGAATATTTATTCAAAAACAAGAGAAAAATGTGCAGACAGAGAAATATGAAATGAAATAATGTCCGAGTTTCACAACCAATATTCCAAAATGAAATAGTTCTCTTTTCAGTTAGTAATAAGTATCAAGGAAAACAGCCTTTCCTAGTCTCATCAAAACTTACATTTTATTTGATTGCTGTTTAATGCTGCATTCAGCAATATTCCAGCTATATGGTGCTGCATTCAGCAATATTCCAGCTATATGGTGTCTTTACCAGACAATCCATTGATCTACATCATGAGCATCGGTCTACGTAATTGAGATACGATGACATGGATCAAGTCAGATCGCCCAACCACCGGATCTCGTTTTACAAAAGTTTACGTGATGTGATCAGGCCTAAAGTGAGAAACTCTCCCTAGTCCTGCACTCACTGAATGGACTAGTGCAACTCTGGATGTTTTAATAATGTCTTGACCTACAAACTAGAAACCACGGTAACCCCTGTTGGGTATAACTCAAAAACACCAGCTTGTTTATGATGAAACTCATGCTTCAGGGTGTTCATAGCTGTGTAAAATCAGTCACACTACGTGGATCATCATACATGCATAATGGACCAAATTCTCCTCGTCAAATTCCCATGGCCAGAAGATTCGAAGAGTATTTTTCTTTGACAAATGGTAATCAGAACTCTCTCCGCTGACAGTAACATGCAATTACATGAAGGGCAAGGTATGACAGGAGCCCTTCTGGCGCACAGGAAATGTCAAAATTAAACATAATGGCAAAATTGTAATAATCGTTATTATCGTTATTAACGACCTCATCATGTTCAAATGACTAAATATCAGCCATGTTCATCAGTAACACTTTTGGGACTTGTGATATTTACAAGTAGAGAAATGAATGGTTTGTTTGTTTGTTTGTTTGTTTGTTTGTTTGTTGCTTAACCCCGCACTCAGCAATATTCCAGCTATATGACGGTGGTCTGTAAAATAATCGAGTCTGGACCAGACAATCCAGTGATTGACATCATGAGCATCGATCCACGCAATTGGGATCGATGACACGTATCAACCAAGTCAGTGAGCCTGACCATCCGATCCCGTTAGTCACCTTTTACGACAAGCATAGTCGCCTTTTACAGCAAGTATGGGTTGCTGAAGACCGATTCTACCCGGGATCTTCACGGGCTGAGTATGAATGGCAACCAGGGAACATCCGCGACCAAATCTGGGATTGTTTAACCTACATTTCCTTCGTATATCAGCTTTGGTCAAACACTTGCTCATGCTTTAATGTTAAACCAATATTTCCTGACCACCTATAAAATCAGAAACATTGTACCCATATCTTAACATCTGGGAATGTTATAAGCAGAAACCAGGTACAACAAACTACACACCTGAAAACTTTTATTGTAACAGTTTCTGAAAGTATGTTTCACTTTTTTTTATAAAGCAGCTCCAGTGGGCCACAGAGAATCCATATCATACCATGTCCTTAAAATATAGTCTCAAAAAACATGTTGTGAGAAGTATGTGCAGCATAGCTCGGAATGGACTCTTCCACTGGCAGTGGTGCAACTTAACACTTAGTGAGTGAGTGAGTGAGACAGTGAGAGTGAGTGAGAGGGTGAGTTGGGTTTAACGCCGCTTTTAACAGTATTCCAGTTATATCACAGCAAGTCAGCTTAATGTGGGAGGAAAGCCCGAAGTGATGCAGGTCTCAGACGTTTACCACTTCGGTGAAACCCACGAGCACGGGTATGGTGCTGACAAACTTAGAAACATAATCGGGGCGAACCGGGATTTGAACCCACAATCATAGGTTTCTGGCGTGCCCAAGGGACGCAACTCTGCACAGCGAATCACGGCGCCTTAGACGACTGGGCCACCCGTGCCCCCGAGACAGTGAGAGAGCTTAACATTGCTTTTAACAGTATTCAACTACATCACGACTTGTCAGCTTCACGTGGGAAGAAAGCCCAAAGTGTGGCTGATCGTAGACATTTACATGCATGGTGCTGACAACCCAAGGGATCAGGGTGAATCTAGGCATTGAACCTATGATCAGCAAATCCTAGCACGACTAAGGGACGCAACTCTGCACGCTAGACTACTGCGCGACCTGTGCCTCCTGTTACAGAATATGACAGATCCAACACCAGCGGATTTCTTACATATTTTTATAATAAAGATACTCTATTTGTCATGTGTATATCAAACTGGAGACTATCCTGCCCATAATCAACTTCATGCAAAAACACAGGATAGGAAGTGTGGAAAAAAGAAATCTCCATTATAACGCCAAGATCAGGACACATCCATTCTGTGTTATAGTGAAGTGCAGGAAACAGCATTCAGGGGTGAAAGGGAAAGTTCAAGGACAATCATTTCATCAATAAGTGCAAATCAAAGGCCCCATGCAAAATCATAAGATTGTTTTAATATCCCTTTCCCACACGTGAATATGCTGACATTCTCAAGTAACATACCCATTGCATGAAGTAAGAAGTCTTCAAACAATGACATTCAATTTTTATAAGCTGCATTTCAAAAGCTGTAATAATTTGAGATGATGTCACCAGTCACAGCACCATTGGAAGTTTCTCGGTTATTTTTTCAGTTGTGAATTGTTTATTACCAGATGTGCAGACAACGCATGCTTCCACACTCATGCAGTGCAACAATGCATAATCGTGCACAATAACACGACCGGATGGTCAGCAAATAGCAAAGATGAGTCTGAGGCTATATCCTGTAGCATGACAAAACAGTCTGTTACCACGACGCCACTTTACTGTTACCATGACGACACTATCAACCCTATTACCATGACAACATACAGAGTACTACAAACAGACCGCTTCCATCGACTGTTAACATCCACACTATCAGTACCTGATATACAATGATACAGAACTTTTTTAACAGAATAGCTCACTTATATTTCCAACATGCATAAAATTCATAATGAATTGAAAAAAATGAACTTTTTCTACTGCTAATTTACTGAAAAGATTCCTTTACAAATCAAACAAATGTCATTGTCATATTTCACTTTCTAGATAATGAATAGATAGAAATTCAAAATTACAAAACTAAACAAAACAAAATTAAGAAAGATACATTTTTCAAAATGGATCCAAGTTCGGATTATACGAGTACAGATCTTTGGTCATCTCATTGTCATGGAAACCATGTGTAACAAAAGTGTGAAATTGAGGTTTAAAAAGAGTGCAGACACTAAATTTTGTAGATGTACCAAAGGCCTGAAAAACATGAAACATAAGTGCCACCCTTCAAACACAAAAACTTTATTATTATTGGGGCTTTTTTTTAACATTGTGTATTCACCTTGAAGCAAATTCATTTTGAGTAAATGTTTTGTAATTAAATTATCCTTTGTACCAGGTTCTTGTATAAACCATAAATCTAGCAATGTTCCACAAAATGACAAAGGATATTTTTTTGTCCTGAAAATAAGATAACATTATATTATGAACATGATTAAGACAGCTATCCCTCAAGTCACATATATACATGTATGTGAATATTTAAGTTAGAAATCTTTATGTAATGTTTGTGAAATAGAACAAAATTGTTTTAAAAGATTGTCATTTTTCCAAACATTGGTTAAAGTTTTGTAAATAAATCATTATTTCCTAAATTTTAAAAAATAGTCCTAAAGTAGTAGGGGGGATACTTGGAGTATTTTGATTGCTAAGAAATATATATTAATATTTTAAGACAAGCAAAACCTAAACATGAGATTCAGTTTAATAATAATAGCCAGTTAACCCTTAATCATAACAGTTAATCCTGGTGATTAAACTGGTTAAACCTTAATCCTGATGGTTAATCAATTAACTGTAAACACCTAACTGTAATCCCTTAATCCTGATACCTAACTGTCAACACCTTAATCCTGATACCTAACTGTCACCCCTTAATCCTGATACCTAACTGTCACCCCTTAATGTAGCCTGTCATCCTCACAAGCAACCTGTCATACCTTAATCCTGATACCTAACTGTAAGCCGGCATTCCTGACACCTAACCGTAACTGTAAGCCCTTAATCCTGATACCCAACTGTCAGTCCTTAATCCTGACACCTAACTGTAAGCCCTTAATCCTGATACCGAACTGTCAGCACTTAATCCTGATATCTAACTGTAAGTCCTTAATCCTGATACAAAACTGTAAGCCCTTAATCCTGATACCTAACTGTAAGCCCTTAATCCTGATATCTAACTGTAAGTCCTTAATCCTGATACCTAACTGTCAGCCCTTAATCCTGATACCTAACTGTAATCCCTTAATCCTGATACCTAACTGTCACCCCTTAATCCTGATACCTAACTGTCACCCCTTAATCCTGATACCTAACTGTCACCCCTTAATCCTGATATCTAACTGTAAGTCCTTAATCCTGATACAAAACTGTAAGCCCTTAATCCTGATACCTAACTGTAAGTCCTTAATCCTGATATCTAACTGTAAGTCCTTAATCCTGATACCTAACTGTCAGCCCTTAATCCTGATACCGAACTGTCAGCCCTTAATCCTGATACCGAACTGTAAGCCCTTAATCCTGATACCTAACTGTCACCCCTTAATCCTGATACCTAACTATCACCCCTTAATCCTGATACCTAACTATCACCCCTTAATCCTGATACCTAACTGTAAGTCCTTAATGTAGCCTGTCATCCTCACAAGCAACCTGTCATACCTTAATCCTGATACTTCAACATCCCTGTCGGCTCTTAATTTTGATACCAAACTGACAGTCCTTAAACCTGACACCTAACTGTATGCCCTTAATCCTGATACCTAACTGTAAGCCGGCAATCCTGACACCTAACTGTAACTGTAAGCCCTTAATCCTGATACCGAACTGTAAGCCCGCAATCCTGACACCTAACTGTAACTGTAAGCCCTTAATCCTGATACCGAACTGTTAGCACTTAATCCTGATATCTAACTGTAAGTCCTTAATCCTGATACCTAACTGTCAGCCCTTAATCCAGACAAATAACTGTAAGCCCTTAATCCTGATACCTGTCAGCCCTTAATCCTGATACCTGTCAGCCCTTAATCCTGATACCGAACTGTCAGCACTTAATCTTGATACCTAACTGTAAGCCCTTAATCCTGATACCCAACTGTAATCCCTTAATCCTGATACCTAACTGTAAGCCCTTAATACCCATACCTAACAGTAGGCGCTTAATCCTGACACCTAACTGTAAGCCCTTAATCCTGATACCGAACTGTCAGCACTTAATCCTGACACCTAACTGTAAGCCCTTAATCCTGATACCGAACTGTCAGCACTTAATCCTGACACCTAACTGTAAGCCCTTAATCCCATTACCTGTCAGACTTTAATCCTGATACCTGTCAGCCCTTAATGCTGATACCTGTCAGCCCTTAATGCTGATACCTGTCAGCCCTTAATCCTGATACCTGTCAGCCCTTAATCCAGATACCTGTCAGCCCTTAATGCTGATACCTGTCAGACCTTAATCCAGATATCTAACTGTAAGTCCTTAATCCTGATACCTAACTGTCAGCCCTTAATCCTGATACCTAACTGTAATCCCTTAATCCTGATACCTAACTGTCACCCCTTAATCCTGATACCTAACTGTCACCCCTTAATCCTGATACCTAACTGTCACCCCTTAATCCTGATATCTAACTGTAAGTCCTTAATCCTGATACAAAACTGTAAGCCCTTAATCCTGATACCTAACTGTAAGTCCTTAATCCTGATATCTAACTGTAAGTCCTTAATCCTGATACCTAACTGTCAGCCCTTAATCCTGATACCGAACTGTCAGCCCTTAATCCTGATACCGAACTGTAAGCCCTTAATCCTGATACCTAACTGTCACCCCTTAATCCTGATACCTAACTATCACCCCTTAATCCTGATACCTAACTATCACCCCTTAATCCTGATACCTAACTGTAAGTCCTTAATGTAGCCTGTCATCCTCACAAGCAACCTGTCATACCTTAATCCTGATACTTCAACATCCCTGTCGGCTCTTAATTTTGATACCAAACTGACAGTCCTTAAACCTGACACCTAACTGTATGCCCTTAATCCTGATACCTAACTGTAAGCCGGCAATCCTGACACCTAACTGTAACTGTAAGCCCTTAATCCTGATACCGAACTGTAAGCCCGCAATCCTGACACCTAACTGTAACTGTAAGCCCTTAATCCTGATACCGAACTGTTAGCACTTAATCCTGATATCTAACTGTAAGTCCTTAATCCTGATACCTAACTGTCAGCCCTTAATCCAGACAAATAACTGTAAGCCCTTAATCCTGATACCTGTCAGCCCTTAATCCTGATACCTGTCAGCCCTTAATCCTGATACCGAACTGTCAGCACTTAATCTTGATACCTAACTGTAAGCCCTTAATCCTGATACCCAACTGTAATCCCTTAATCCTGATACCTAACTGTAAGCCCTTAATACCCATACCTAACAGTAGGCGCTTAATCCTGACACCTAACTGTAAGCCCTTAATCCTGATACCGAACTGTCAGCACTTAATCCTGACACCTAACTGTAAGCCCTTAATCCTGATACCGAACTGTCAGCACTTAATCCTGACACCTAACTGTAAGCCCTTAATCCCATTACCTGTCAGACTTTAATCCTGATACCTGTCAGCCCTTAATGCTGATACCTGTCAGCCCTTAATGCTGATACCTGTCAGCCCTTAATCCTGATACCTGTCAGCCCTTAATCCAGATACCTGTCAGCCCTTAATGCTGATACCTGTCAGACCTTAATCCAGATATCTGTCAGCCCTTAATCCTGATACCTGTCAGCCCTTAATCCTGATATCTGTCAGCCGTTAATCCCGATACCTGTCAGCCCTTAATCCCGATATCTGTCAGCCCTTAATCCTGATATCTGTCAGCCCTTAATCCTGATACCTAACTGTAAGCCCTTAATCCAGACACTTAACTGTAAGCCCTTAATCCTGATACCCGTCATCCCTTAATCCTGACAATTAATCAAGCAGGCCCCTACTCCTGACCCTAAAACTGATGGTTAACCTGTCATCCCCTCATCCTGATGGTCAACCCCGAAGCGCCAGTCTGAGACACAATCCTCATCTCTGCTACTGCTGAAACTAAACAAACCAAAACATAAAGCCGAGAGAGGAACGAAACCCAACGGAAATAAAGGTGCTGCTACACACAGTACCTCACCATCACAGTCGAAAGAACAGAATCAAATCTAGAAACCAAGGATCTAGTAATAAATCTAGCTGCAAAAACGTAAGCCCATTCAAATTCCAGAGTTTCAGTGTTTTGAGGGCAACGTAATCACAGCTATGCTCCATCTCACCTGTAGACCGCCCTGAAACGTCCCATAACTAGAGCAGTCTTGAATAAGACGGCTATAGTTTTTCCCTTGACCCTTAATAATAAGTGGCATGAAGGAAAAGAAAGACAGAATGTATGTAAATGAAATAATAATCTTCGTTTGTTTGTATATTTACCTCCAGAATTCTAAAAGAACTTTCGTCTAGACGGCTATAGTTTTTTCCTTGCCCCTTTATATTGAATGGTGCATGAAGAAAGAAAATAACAGAATCGTTGTATTTGAAAGTTATGGAAATGTTTTGTAAGCCAGTATCAAGGCTTCCTTTGCTTCATAAAAACAAACAATACAGAAGATATTTAGGTGACCAACTGCATGCTATGTGTCAATAATATTTTCTAAAAGTGAGATGAACGTAATGTAAATAAATATCAAAACATGGATCTGAGAAGCATCAGTATGAACATACAGCATTTATATACTACATAGAAACTCAGAGCATAGCTGTTTAGTATCAGAAACATTACGTTATAGTTTATCACAGGAATTGTGCCATAAGGCTCAGTAGCTCACCTTAATATGGGGTATTTGCAACATTTTGAATTTGAAATACAAAATTTTGAGTGAGTGAGTTGGGTTTAACGCCGCTTTTAACATTATTCTAGTCATATCACGGCATGTCAGCTTAATGTGGGAGGAAAGCCCGATGTGATGCAGGTCTCAGACGTTTACTACTTCGGTGAAACCCACGAGCATGGGTATGGTGCTGACAAACCTAGAAACATAATCGGGGCAAACCAGGATTCGAACCCACAATCATTGGTTTCTGGCGTACCCAAGGGACGCAACTCTGCACATCAAATTGCTCAACCTTAGACGACTGGCCCACCTGTGCCCCCAAAATCAAAATTAAAATATGTTAACATCTTCTTTTTCATGACACTTTCACTAATAAAGATAAAATGAATCTTGTTTGACAGAGGAAAACCTTTTTGGGTAGGGGTGGTTTCACTATCTAAATGCGAAATGATTCAGAAATTATCTAAACTTGGAACATTCCATTACACCAGAAATGGGCTTCACACCCTGCACCCATGTGGGAAATAGAACCCAGGTCTTTGGCATGGCAAGCGAACGCAATGCCACTGACCCCAGTGAAAAAGAAATGTAAAACACATCTTAGCACTCAAAAAGGGTAAACTGCTGGTCCCATTGAATTTGATTTCTTTTTTTAACGTTGTATTGGCAATATCTCCGGGATAAAGCGACTCTACAAATGACTTCGTATCTGAACAGTAGCTAAACAACATTTTCAATATGGCCACTGTTGTGCACACCATAAATCATGATCATGGGTTCAAATCCCGGTTCTCCCAGATTATGTTTTTAGGTTTGTCAGCACCATACCCGTGCTCGTGGGTTTCACCAAAGTGGTAAACGTCTGAGACCTGCATCACTTCAGGCTTTCTTCCCAAATCAAGCTGCCATGCCATGATGTAACTGGAATACCATTTAAAGCATGTTCAAACCCAACTCACTCACTCACACACTTATAGAGAGATGCATTGAGTAAAATGTCAAGGTAGCATATCAACATGGATGCTACACAGTTTCAGAGAATTGTAAAGGCCCATGAAGAGTGGATGAGGTGAGGTGAAATTGCGTCGCGTCCAAGATTATTGCACTTATATAGCGACATGCATGCACACGTGGGTGTGTGGCTGCTAGTACTAGTCTGGACTGATGCCGATTTATAGCGCTAGCCCACTGAGACACCTTGCTGCAGTTTAACATGAATACCCCACAAAGACACAGAATACTGACTCCGAGACTCCAGTCCTTGTTTTAGCCCCTAAATGTCGAGCGCCAGACAGGGTAACAACAAGTACCATCCTTAACATCTTTTGGTATGTTGGTTGGTTGGTGTGTTGTTTAACGCTGCACTCAGCAATATTCCAGCCATATGACAGCGGTCTGTAAATAATCGAGTCTGGACCAGACAATTCAGTGATTAATATCATGAGCATCGATCCACGCTATTGGGATTGATGACATGCATCAACCAAGTCAGCGAGCCTGACCACCTGATCCCGTTAGTCACCTTTTACGACAAGCATAGTCACCTTTTACGGCAAGCATGGGTTGCTGAAGACCTATTCTACCCCAGAATCTTCACAGGTCTCTTTTGGTATGGGCATCAAACTGAAGAGTGGATGACGGTCGAACAACAAGTCACAGGCCCACACAAACATTCAGTTTGCGGGAGCTAAAATTGATTTGATAGAGTGGAGGATTTAATGGTAAGCAAAACTATGAAATCAAAACATGAAATTTCCAAAAGAGTTTGCAGAACTTTGGCAAAAATAAAAAGCTTATGACAATATCCCAGACCAGATTCATGCAGGATTATTTACACACCGGTAATTTACAAGACTAAATTATTTAGACATTGTGAAATCTGCTGATATAGTCCTTAAACAAATTTACAAGATTAAATCACAAAGACATGTTGATCACTGCTGTTTAATTCATAACATAACGCACTTCATTGATCCTGATCGAAAATAATTTAATCTGTGAATAAGTGTATATTCACGGTGGATATTTGGATCAACATCCCACGTTGTTGGTGTACAATTACACACAAAGTCACTAACCACCCGATCCACTTTGTCACCTTGTATGACAAGCATCAATAACTGGGGCCAACTCATGCCTGGAATCCCTACTGAGATATACTTTGTTTGTTTGTTTGTTGTTTAACACCACACTCAGCAATATTCCAGCTATATGACAGCGGTCTGTCAGTAATCGAGTCTAGACCAGACAATCCAGTGATCGACAATATGAGCAAATGGGATCGATGACATGCATCAACCAAGTCAGCGAGTCTGACCACCCAATCCTTGTCTCCTCTTACGACAAGCATATTGCCTTTTACAACAAGCATGGGTTGCTGAGGACCTTTTCTAACCAGGATCTTCAGGGGCCCTGAGATATACATGGTATATAACATACAATTCTATGTGGAGAACTTTATCACATCAATATTCTTACTTTTCAAATATTTAGCTAAATGTTTCGGCTTGTTTGTGGCTTAGAGCTTAAACATGCATAGAAGCAGTAAAAAAAATTATTGTCTTGTCTGGATAAACCACAGCTCTGCTGCATTGCACCTAAATCCAAGCAACTTAAAACAAAAATAAAAACAGAGACTCAAATGATTTGATAAAAGAAACACAAAAGAAGCTAGAGAGTAACACAAAACAAAGTCCAGTGATGGATAATTCCCGCCGCCACATATCGAGTCTCGTGTCCACCTCTCCCACAGATACACCCAACCAGAATTTTTTAAAATACACACCCCTCCACACAAGACTAAATTTAGTGGGCTGGTAGCTTTGAGCCCTTTGCTTCCATCAGAGCCATCCTGGTAGTAAGGTCAAGGTCAAGGTCAAGGTAACATAAGGGGCTGTATAATGAGTCTCCAGGTAATATTAGTTATGGAGTAGTTATGTTTTTCAACAGGTATTTGCATTTTCTTAACTAGATTAAAGGATGCTATATCACAAACAATTTATATGGTTATAATGTTGTCAATGTTTTCTTTTAGTTTTTCAAATAAAGAACAAATCTGGAAAACTTATGAAACAGCCCCTCAACATCAAAGATTGTGCTACTGTCATAATAATCATTAAATCATTTAATGACCTTGGTATAAGAAAAATTAATTCAAATTTTCTGAAAAACAAAATAAGTTAGTATTTTTGGCAGTTATTATAAGCAATAAAATGGTTAGGAAAATGATTATGGAATCCAAAAATACTGTTTAAAAAACATTAATGTCGACAATAATCACGATGATAGGGAGATACTGGAGTACATTCACACAAACCTAGATAATGGCCTGCATAACCCACAAAAATGCATCACAATAAATTCAGATTATGTATCTACTTTGTTCAGTACATACTATTACTGCATCACTGAAGTAAGTAAAGTTTTAACAATATACTGATTTCTCAAACAAATGAAAACTGAACAAATGAACTCTCATACAACTTATCAGCATTTACATAGTAACAGTCTAAGGTCGCTGGCAAGTTAGTTTTGTTTGTTTGTTTATTTGTTTGTTGTTTTACGTCGCACTCAGCAATATTCCAGCTATATGACGGAGGTCTGTAAATAATCAAGTCTGGACCAGAAAATTCAGTGATTGACATCATGAGCATCGATCCACGTAATTGGGATATGATGCCATGCATCAACCAAGTCAGCGAGCCTGACCATCCGATCCTAGTCGCCTTTTACGGCAAGCATGGGTTACTGAAGACCTATTCTAACCCAGATCTTCACAGGTCGGCCAAGTTAGTGTCAAAGTTGTTATTTTGATATATGCTACTAATCATTTTCTTTCTTTAAATAATCACAAGTGAGGGCCAAAAATCAACTATTTCTATTCCCAACAATACTCTATTAATCCACAACCTACAGATGATGTTCTCTAGCCCCAGCCTTGTATAAATAATTTGACATTGTGTTACCATGGTTACAAGTAAAATGCTAACCTCCAGCTGTAATCATAAATCCTTAACTGCCAATTATTTCACATTCCTATAAACAAACTGGAAGTGATTCCATAGCTCTTGCTTCACTAATAAACCTTTATGGTCTTGGTATGTGGATTTACGCCATATGCACACCGTTTTTTATGTTTATACCTCCATAAATACTAAGAATATTGAAGTCTACTCTTGAAAAAAATTAATTAGTCTATTAGCATGATTAGATAAAAGGTATGGTTTGTGTTATGACTGATGATTGATGAGGATGATTTCCAATAGGGTTACCATGGTTACAAGTGGAGTAACGGCTTTCAAAGTTTTCTATCACAAACATGATAAACTTATCACCAACAACTTATAGTTCGAAGTGAAATTAATAAAGTTCATTTCAATCTTACAAATATAAAACTCATGAATAAGTAACAAGACATTAAACATAGTAGGTAAAACTACAATATTACGGGGTTTTTCTTCTAAATGATCAGATAGAATATTACATATTATATGCATAGCCAAAGAAAATAAATAATTGATGAAAAATTATCACATTGATCACAAAAGGCTAGAGTATTTCATGAATCTTAAAATGCTTGATATCATAAGTGTGCAAGATGTACAAATATTGAGAGGACGAACAATCAGGTTCTTGTTCATAAGAACTCAGTTTTAGTTAGCATTATCTAACATAACCAGGATTATAACATAAGAAGATATTGTATATCATTATATTATATATATGGCACAATATCAAATACTTCACAAGTAACGTTTATGTTTTAATCTATATCTGTTAATTAATCCTTAAAAAAATCACAAGACTGAACATTCATACCCAAGGTCAGTGAACCCCAAGGTCAGTGAACCCCAAGTTTAGTGAGAGTTATTCCGGTCTAATAGGCTTAGTGAATAATACTCATATTGATACTACAACCTACTGAAATGATGACAACTCTAGTCTATCAGTTTTGGCACTGGAAGAGTTTGGTAAGCAGATTCAATGTGTGTAGTGGCAACATAGCAATCCCACAGGAATTACAACAAATACAGAATAGTTCCCATCAACAGCCGTGTACGTTGTTGAAATGTAAACAGTGTGTATGAGGGCAATGGATTAACCATGATAGCACGGAGTCTGGGTACTTGTGCTCCATGCTTTTGTGTCATCCGATTTTAAATAACATGCACATGGCAGTCTTACATGCATTAACAAATTGTTCCCTCACATTTCGCACGAAAACGTGCAAAAAAATATATATTCATAAAAGTATTTTTACCTTACTCAGCCTGAATTGGCTCTTAAGTATTCTAAATGAGGCCAAATGTAATCAACTAGGTTTTCATTCAAAACAAAAGTGAGGATCAAAGATTTTTCTAGAAACTGGATGACATTCTGACAAACTCTCTTTTGATGCAAGTCTGTGTGTCCGTGTGTCCATGTGTGTCCATGTGAGTCATGTGGGTCCATGTGACGTGTGTCAAGTGTCCATGTGAGTCATGTGTGTCCATGTGACATGTGTCATGTGGGTCCATGTGAGTCATGTGGGTCCATGTGAGTCATGTTGGTCCATGTGGGTCCATGTGAGTCATGTGGGTCCATGTGATGAATCCATGTGGGTCCATGTGTCTCCATGTGAGTCATGTGGGTCCATGTGAGTCCATGTGGGTTCATGTGAGTCACATGGGTTCATGTGAGTCACATGGGTCCATGTGACATGTGGGTCCATGTGAGTCATGTGGGTCCATGTGAGTCATGTGGGTCCATGTGAGTCATATGGGTCCATGTGACGTGTGTCATGTGTCCATGTGAGTCATTTTCAAGGCTGTGAGTCACATGTGTGTCATGTTTGTCATGCATCATGCGAGTCATGTGTGTCATGTGCAAGTCTATGTGAGTTGGGCAAGTCTGTGATGTGATACTATGTGTGTCCATGTGACGTGTGTCATGTGTCCCTGTGAGTCACGTGGGTCCATGTGACATGTGTCCATGTGAGTCATGCTGGTCCACGTGGGTCATGCGGGTCCATGTGAGTCATGTTGGTCCATGTGAGTCATGTGGGTCCATGTGACATGTGTCCATATGAGTCATGTGGGTCCATGTGACATGTGTGTCATGTGTCCATGTGAGTCATGTGAGTCATGTGGGTCCATATGAGTCATCTGGGTCCATGTGAATCATGTGGGTCCATGTGACGTGTGTCATTTGTCCATGTGAGTCATGTGGTCCATGTGACATGTGCGTCATGTGTCGATGTGAGTCATGTAGGTCCATGTTACATGTGTGTCATGTGTCCATGTGAGTCATGTGCAAGTCTGTGAGTCACATGTGTGTCATGCATCATGCAAGTCATGTGAGTCATGTGCAAGTCTATGTGAGTCGGGTAAGTCTGTGATGTGACACTATGTGTGTCCATGTGAGTCATGTGCAAGTCTATGTGAGTTGGGTAAGTCTGTGATGTGATACTATGTGTGTCCATGTGAGTCATGTGCAAGTCTATGTGAGTTGGGTAAGTCTGTGATGTGACACTATGTGTGTCCATGTGAGTCATGTGCAAGTCTATGTGAGTTGGGTAAGTCTGTGATGTGACACTATGTGTGTCCATGTGAGTCATGTGCAAGTCTATGTGAGTTGGGTAAGTCTGTGATGTGATACTATGAGTGTCCATGTGAGTCATGTGCAAGTCTATGTGAGTCGGGTAAGTCTGTGATGTGATACTATGTGTGTCCATGTGAGTCATGTGCAAGTCTATGTGAGTCGGGTAAGTCTGTGATGTGATACTATGTGTGTCCATGTGAGTCATGTGCAAGTCTATGTGAGTCGGGTAAGTCTGTGATGTGATACTATGAGTGTACAGGTGACATGAGGTGAGTAGAGCGGTAGAGAGGCAGAGAGTACTTACATCCTGTATGATGGGGATGCCGAGGTTCTGCATGTTGGTGACGATGCACTTCTCCTCCATGGGAATCTGGGCATGCTGGAGCAGCTTGGCCAGGTTCTCCTCCGTGATACCTACAGTGTAGTACAGTCGCACGTCAAAGTCATATGACACTATGTCACATCAAAGTCATATGACACAGGTACAGTGTTGTACAGTCACACATCAAAGTCACGTGATACTGTGTCACATAAAAGTCATATGACACAGGTACAGTGCCGTACAGTCACATGTCAAAGTCACGTGATACTGTGTCACATCAAAGTCATATGACACAGGTACAGTGTCGTACAGTCACACATCAAAGTCACGTGATCCTGTCAAATCAAAGTCATATGATATATGTACAGTGTCGTACAGTCACATGTCAAAATCACATGATACTGTCCCATCAAAGTCATATGACACAGGTACAGTGTCGTACAGTCACACATCAAAATCACATGATACTGTAGCATCAAAGTCATATGACACAGGGACAGTGTCGTACAGTCACACATCAAAATCACATGATACTGTAGCATCAAAGTCATATGACACAGGTACAGTGTCATACAGTCACACGCCAATGTCATGTGAGTGTGTGAGTGAGTTGGGTTTAACGCCGCTTTTAACATTATTCCAGTTATATCACGGCGTGTCAGCTTAATGTGGGAGGAAAGCCCGAAGTGATGCAGGTCTTAGACGTTTACCACTTCGGTGAAACCAACGAGCACGGGTATGGTGCTGACAAACCTAGAAAAATAATCGGGGTGAACCGGGATTCGAACCCACAATCATAGGTTTCTGGCGTGTCCAGGGGACGTAACTCTGCACAACCATGTCACGTCAAGTCACATGATACATACAATGTAGGATGTTCATACATCAAAGTCACGTGATACCTATTAAAAGACGGTCACAGAGCAAAGTCATGTGATACGTAGAGCATGTAGAGTAGGATGTGCACACTGCACAAGTCTTGTGATACCATGACACACAAAATTCAAATGACATTTTCATACGTATTTCAAGTCATATGACATGTACAACTGAATCAATAGAGCATGTCTGCATCTATTTCCTTTAACGGAAGTCACGCATGTTAAATAAGATATAAATATTGTCACAAAACTTATCATGCTTGATTAGGACAACAATACTGAGGTTGGAGACCAGACACAATGACACCATTGCACTACAGACAATAGACAATTTACCCAATTAAGATGTCCATTGGCGACCTTTGTTTGTTTGTTTGTTTGTTTGTTGTTTAATGCTGTACTCAGCAATATTCCAGCTATATATTCTGGCAGTTGTAAATAATCAAGTCTGGACCAGACAATCCAGTGATTGACATCATGAGCATCGATCCATTCATTATGGATATGGTGACATGCATGAACCAAGTCAGCGAGCCTGACCACCCTATCCCATCAGTCGCCTCTGATGAAAGTAAAGTCGCCTTTTACGGAAAGCATGGGTTGCTGAAGATCTATTCTACCCCTGATCTTCACAGGTCCCATTGGCAACCTATTCCATTGAGTCCCTTGAGTTTGCTGGTACCATATGGCAAACTATTCCAACCGAGTCCATTGAGTTGGGTGCTACAATACACATGGCGACCTATTCCAACCAAGTCCACCAAGTTGGCTGGTACCACATTGCGACCTATTCCAACCGAGTCCATTGAGTTGGCTTCTACAATACACATGGCAACCTATTCCAACCGAGTCCATTGAGTTGGCTTGTAAAGTACACATGGCAACCTATTCCAACCAAGTCCATTGAGTTGACTGGTAAAATATATATGGCAACCCATTCTACCCTGAGTCTATCAATATAAAGCTGGCCTCATAATGCTCATTAGAGCTCTGTGGTAATAACAGGAAAGGGGACACTGAGAAAGGGCTTAGCACAGTGTATACATTAACAGCTTGAAATCCTGATCTTGAATGTGAAGAGCCGACGCCTTACCCATCTGAGCTAGCCCATTATTGTTAGTAGTACTTACACACATGGTGACGAACCTTTCCACAACGAGGAGATTATTATTTTTGACTTGCCCGACCTGACTCACCTCCCTTGTGAATGATGTAAAGGAGGATAATCCTGATCTTGTCATAGGCTGTGATGTTCTGGTCCAGTAGGATCGGGACGATGTTTCGCATATGATCCTTCACCTTTTCTCCATCTGCATCAGTTCCCATGGCAAGATCCTGACAATTACAAAGAGTACTCCCTGAGTCCCTTGATGAGAATGAAAATCAAGAGGGAGCCAACCTGCCCCCAATGGCATCTGGTAAACCACTTAACTTGTCTTGGCATCCAATTTAAGAACTCTTGAGTCATATCAGCTTACATAGCCAATACAAGTTAATACTGGGACTTCAAAGTGCATGCTTATGAGCTCAGGGCTAAATATTGTATTGCAAGGAATAAAAAAGACTAAAAAATAAAGTTTAACGTTGAAATATTGGCATCTGCTTACCAGAAAAACATTTCATGACCTCAAATATACTACACTGCGTCATCCAGAACACCACTTAATAACGCTCGTCATCTGGCGTACCAAAAGAGGGTCGACACCCTCAATCAAGTGCATACTAATCCATTGACCGCGGTAATGATGTAGTGCTTTGAGTTCATGCCAAAAATATTTTAGTCAACTAGACCGAGCCTTTGTGTTAATGCATGGACCTTTACATGCAAAGCTCGATCAAGAGAATTTTACTGGACTCTTGCTTGGGACAAGTGGCTAAAGTCACAGACTGCTTCTAATCATCAGTGATGGTTGTTTTTTACAGCATCAAAGGTAAAACAATATCTGAAAATATTAGTCATTGTCCTAAAGGACTCTACCACATGTACAATCACAACTCCCAACACTGTCTTACCTGTTCTACTTTACACAGCTTGTCTATATGTTTCTGATACTGCCTCAGGCAGTCCTCAGCAAGATGGAGGTGTATGGAGTACAATCACAACTCCCAACACTGTCTTACCTGTTCTACTTTACACAGCTTGTCTATATGTTTCTGATACTGCCTCATGCAGTCCTCAGCAAGATGGAGGTGTGTGGAGTAGTTGCTCAGCTCCTTCTGGTACTGAGGCATCTTCTTCAACATTTGTGACAGGTCTCGGATGTTGGCCTTGTCCGGGGTGGTCAGACGCTTATCCTCAGCAAAGCGTTTTAGTTTTTTAGTTACTTGTCTGAAAAAAACAACGTATAAGCCAATTAGAAAGGTTTAGAAAGTTAACATGAGACAATGATGACAGTTTTATCATCGCTAATGTTTCTGGGGTTGTCATAGTCAGTGGGTTGTCACGGTCGGTGGGTTGTCATTGTCGGTGGGTTGTCATAGTCGGTGGGTTGTCATAGTCGGTAGGTTGTTGGTGGGTGGTCGGTGGTCGGTGGGTTGTCATAGTCGATGGGTTGTCATAGTTGGTGGGTTGTCACAGTCAATGGGTTGTCACAGTCAGTGGACTGTCACAGTCAGTGGGTTGTCACAGTCAGTGGGTTGTCACAGTAAGTGGGTTGTCAGTGGGTTGTCGAAGTCAGTGGGTTGTCAGTGGGTTGTCACAGTAAGTGGGTTGTCAGTGGGTTGTCACAGTCAGTAGGTTGTCAGTGGGTTGTCACAGTTAGTAGGTTGTCAGTAGGTTGTCAGTGGGTTGTCACAGTAAGTGGGTTGTCACAGGGTTGTAAGTGAGTTGTCACAGTAAGTGGGTTGTAAGGGGTTGTCAGTGGGTTGTCACAGTAAGTGGGTTGTCAGTGGGTTGTCGAAGTCAGTGGGTTGTCAGTGGGTTGTCACAGTAAGTGGGTTGTCAGTGGGTTGTCGAAGTCAGTGGGTTGTCAGTGGGTTGTCACAGTAAGTGGGTTGTCAGTGGGTTGTCACAGTAAGTGGGTTGTCAGTGGGTTGTCACAGTATGTGGGTTGTCAGTGGGTTGTCACAGTCAGTGGGTTGGTGAGTGACACGACCAATTGAATGTCCAGTTTAGTCGTGTCTATGTTGGAGAAGTCATGAGCAATTTTGGTTTCTCGCCCATTTACAATCGCGGCGCTTCCTGCACTTGCAGCCCCACCATAAACATTTTTACTAGAAATATCTTTCTATAGGGTCAACCATTTTCTATTTTCATAAATGTCACCAAACGTTTTTTTCCGATGTTCTATCTAAACTGGTTACCAAAGCGTTTACTCAAAAAGTCAAGTCTGGCTTTGGGAATTTTTATTTCATAGTGACAGATTTCAGTAGCTGTCACTGCATTTCGTTTCTGCAATTGACATGTTGGCTGCGATACAATGCGCAGACACTCGATCAACTTTTGTAATGCATGCTAATTGATGGGATCATCTCAAACCTCACCTCAGTCATCTTCCCGAGGCAAGGGCGTTGACTGACCTTATAAGCCCAGTTTCCACCCTTGCCGAACTAGGCTGCAATTCCGGAGTTACATTCTGGCTGGACTAACGAGTCTACGCATAGTCCAAAATTGCGGAAAAAACTAGTCATCCAGTTCGTAAACAACATGGGTTTCAACGTCAACTGGGTGTCGACATATATTTTCCAAATCATTTCATGTTTTTAATCAATGTGCTCAAGTGATTTGATGCATTTAGCGGGATAAGACGCATTTTATTACAAGATAGATCGTGATTATTGATCAGATCGTCTTGACTGGGCGCCGCCATTTTATTTGAAGCAATGCAAGTGATATGAATGATGGTAACTGATTGGTCAATAGAAGAGACACAGGAGAGACGTAACTCGTAATAGCCACTGGTGGCGCTGCGATCGAGCCTAGAATTTCCAGCCTCGTTCGGCAAGGGTGGAAACTTAGTAAAATCTAAATATTTTTTACATTTGTATACTTATCCTGCATTACTCCTTAATGCATTCACTGCTTACTTACGACAACTAGAAGGACAGCGCTGAGAAGGTCCTGGGTGAAGAAATAAAGTTGTTGTTCTCAAGTCCCAATCAGTGGCCTTCCGTCGCTGTCCTGTGACCTTGATGACACCTAAGGTCATCTTCACATCACTGCCTGTCGCCCAAGCTCTTAGAAAAACATACTTTTGAGGTTTCTGAAGCCAAAGTGGGGAGGCAAGTCTAATGACAGGTGGGCCTTAAGCGTAGTAATGCAGGATAAGTATACAAATGTAAAAAATATTTAGATTTTACTAAATTTTTTACTTATCCTGCATTACTCCTTAATGCATCTGTATCGGACGGTTTGGAGGTGGGTAAACCTTCAGAATACAGAAACCTCAATAATTCACACCCTGCAATACGACCCTATTTGGTCGATAAACCGTGAAGCGGAAAAGTTCAGACAAAAACGCCATTACGGTAGGGTTGTTCAAAAATCAAAAACATTGAACATAGGAATTAAAGAGAAATTCCCTATACACGCTTAGTAATAAAGAAAATAATAGCTATTCAGCTAATTCTTTACTTACTGCATCATAGAGCCGTCGCTGACAAACAAGATTGTCTAATATTCTTCCACTGGTGGCGACTGAGTGACTGCACATGGAAGTTGACTGGCTCTGTATAGGGCGAGTTCATTATTTGCGTCAGTGGTTGGCAATCTGCAGGATAACAACCAGAGGGCCAAACTTCGAACGTCTTCGACATCCTCGAGAGTCACAACGCGAAGGTTATGACTAACGAAAATATGTGTCGAATCTCCAGAAATATCCTTCCGTGATTGTTCCAAAACCACAATTGCCGTGTTGAGCCCTGGTAAGGCTGACACCTTGAGATCTTGAGGGTAATTCGCTCTCGGCGAGTTCCGTTTGATGATCTCGTAGGCCTGAAGGATTACTGCGCGTAACCATATAGATATGGTGTTTGCGATTATGCGACTAACTTCTGTCGTGGACGAACCACGCCTTGTCTTGGAGCATCGAATGAAAACTCGAACTGCTCGCACCGAGCCCAGGAGAACTTCACCATGTACGATTCCCACAATAGTCGATATCGGTGGGATGGTGAAGAACGGTCGGGTTGGCCTGGTAGTAGATTTTAGCAATAAAATCCCAGCATAACCCTAGATGTCCCGTTCCGTGCGTCCCATGCTCAAAACGGATCCGGGTTGAGTCGATCACATGTAGTTCGCTCACCCGTACCGCCATTGCTAATGCCAAGAGAAACCATTGTTTCCTTGGTGATGTCCAAGCTCCTCACAGCGATAGCCCGTTCGCGGAGCTCTCTATACTATACCGAGAGTGTAACGAAGGTGTCACGCGCTGGGAAGGAGCTTGAAAATGAGGATGCAATGAGGGGCTCGAAGGGGGCCCTCGCAAACCTCGAAGTACCACGTTCAAGTCCCAATCAGGTGGCTGGAACTTGGCCTTCTGATCCTCAAACCTGAATGAGCATAATATGGCCTGTAGTTCCGTGACCTTAATCACACTGTGAATTCCAGCTGAGTGGAAATTTCTCACAGAAGCATTCCAGTTACTGCTTCAGGAATACAGCTCTTCTTACCAACAGTATGTCTATGTTGGATTTTCCCAATCAAACTGTGGTCAACGGTGGGGTTAACTCTACCCTTATACGGACACCATGATATAGTGCGATAAGTACGAAATCGTCCTTGAGACTTGTCTCTGCCACTCCCTTTCTCAGTAAGGGAATGCTGCTCTTCCCTGAGAAACGCGCGTCTAGGCTTATAATTCCCTGACTTGGACTTTCCAAGCTTTTTGGGAACTTGACGTGCGTGTCTGCGATCTGTTCGTTGAACAGGGGAGTAGATGATCAAGGTTGACGTAATAGACTGCCCTTGAAACCAGCATCTCAGTTGGAAACGCTATAAAGTCTTGGGTGTAACGGTAATCACCGTCAGAACGGTCTCAAGATGAATTTTCCTGTGGTCAAACTGACGCTGTAGGAAAAACACCATAGTTTGGAAGTGATCTAATCAGATAGGGTTATCCTCTAATAGATTCTGATCCACTGCAAACATTGACGATATTGGTCGCTTAAATCACGGAGCAAATGTGAGTTTTGGAGAAGGCTTCCTCCAATGACCTCGTGGTGTCCCTCTTATTTACCCTGTTATCAGGGGAGGGCGTTACTGACACGAGATGGTCTGCTTCCCAATCGGGTACATGTGCTAAGCTGATCATGTGCCGGTTACGTAACCGAGTACACTGTAAGCCTTGGGCTAACGTCATTGTAGAGACCTTGATTGATACGCAGACGCTGCGCTCAGCGCAGGTCTGGAATGTTGGAACAGCGCTAAGCTGATCGTGCGACGTTTGCGTAATAGGAGCGCTTTGGGTAGCAGTCAGACGCTGCGCTCGGCGCAGGTCTATGCTGGATATGTTGGAACAGCGCTAAGCTGATCGTGCGACGTTTGCGTAATAGGAGCGCTTTGGGTAGCAGTCAGACGCTGCGCTCGGCGCAGGTCTATGCTGGATATGTTGGAACAGCGCTAAGCTGATCGTGCGTCACTGGCGTGATAGGAGCGCTTGGGTATCAGTCAGACGCTGCGCTCGGCGCAGGTCTATGCTGGATATGTTGGAACAGTGCTAAGCTGATCATGCGCCGCTTGCGTAATAGAAGTGCTTGGGTTGTAGTCAAGTGCTGCGCTCGGCGCAGATAAATCAGACACAAAGCTCAAAAGTATTGACTGGATCAAGGCTTGCGTCTAATCTACCCCCATCATAGCATCTCGATACGCTGGTGCTGGTGCTGTCGCCGACGTCACAGATTATCATACATGTATCTGGAAGTGTCCGGCGGCTGAAAAAATAGGAGCAGTTACGATACTCACAAAATCCTCCGGTATTGTTGATTTCGGTGGATGGTGTACTTCTGCAATCAGTCGTCATAATACCTGCCGATAATAACGGTTGGGTGGTAATGACAGAACCATATGTCATTCGCTATTCTGCGATAGTGACATTCCTCTCGTCTCACGACGGAATAACTGCAAAATATGATTGTGAGTAATCTGCTTTTATATAGTAAACTCGTTGGATTAGAGATTTACATAAAAATTACATTTTGAATTTTGGCGAGCACATCTACGTGCATGCCTATGACCGTGGATAAAGAGCTTTGGGCGATTATTCCACGACAATATGTACACCGAGCAAACATAATTATGTTACGCAATTAAACCATTGAAGAAATGGTACTGGAAGAATGCCGTAGAATTGAACAGTAATCTATCGGCAAAAATACGAATTGCAAGGGTATACAATATTTTTATATACGCAATTCAATGTAAACCAAGGCTATTTACATTTAGAGATTGGAGAGCACATCTGCGCGCAAACCAACCAATCGTGGATGATAATCTTGTAAGGTTTTTTCCACGACAATTAGTAAAATGCTCAAAGGTATGTTACGCAATGAAACCCTTGTTGATGAGATAATACTGGAAGAGTGCCGAAGAATTTGAACACTAATCTATCGGCAAATTTATGAGTTGCAAGGATATACAATATTTTTGTATGCGCAACCCAATGTAAACCAAGGGTATTTATATTTTCATTTAGGGTTTGGAGAGCACATCTGCGAGCAAACCAAACAACGTGGATGATAATCTTTGTAAGATTTTTCCCACGACAATTAATACCACGCTCAATCATAAGTTACACAATTACATATATATATGTATATTCAATGTCTGTACATATAGAGTAGGGAAAGGGCCACCTAAGTTGGATAACTTTTGCCCAATCCCGTTGACCATATATGTCAATAAAACATGTTTAAAACAAACACAAATACGCCATTGTTGATGAGGCGGTACTGGAAGAATGCCATAGAATTGAACAATAATCTATCGGCAAAAACTACGAGTTGCAAGAGTATACAATAGTTCATATACGCAACTCAATGTAAAACCAAAAATACCAACAAAAAACTATTTAATCGCATAAACATAGGTACGCAATAAAAGAATTGTTGATGAAGCGGGACTGGAAGAAAGCCGTAGATTTGATATTAATCTATCGGCAACCATATTTTTAACGAGTTGAAAAAGTATACAATAATTTTAGTATACGCAACTCACTGTTACGCCAAAGCTAGTAATATTTAAGAACATAAGAATATGTTATATATACGTAGCTGAGAATTGTAAACAATATGACTACCTTGGCAGGCAAACGATTGTAACACAATTCAAAATGGCGGCGAACAACAATATTTTGGCGGGAAAAAAGACAAGCGTCTTTTCACGCCTAATTAATTCACATAAAACTACACAACATGGTGAAAGTAATATGAAAAGAATACATCACCCATCGCAGATCAATTTTTAAGATTGTAGACAAACTGAAGGTCTAAAATTAATCCAAAAGGAGAGCTCCGCTTGGACACGTCCTAGCTGTGCTGCGACAAGCAGTGATGTGACGATGACCTTAGGTGTCATCAAGGTCACAGGACAGCGACGGAAGGCCACTGATTGGGACTTGAGAACAACAACTTTATTTCTTCACCCAGGACCTTCGCAGCGCTGTCCTTCTAGTTGTCGTAAGTAAGCAGTGAATGCATTAAGGAGTAATGCAGGATAAGTAAAAAATTGGACTTTTATAGTCAGTTAACTCACTTGCCTAGGGAAGATGCACCTCAATGTCAAATGACAATGACTGCCCAACTAACAATCAAGATGTGTACCTAATTAACACAGTGATCCCATGATACCTGCCCCTTTGTTGTTGATGACTGGTGATGACTTGCAAAACAAACATCGTCAAGCATGGTCGCTGTCTGGTAAGTGGGAAACAAGTATATTGCACTGTTGGTAATTGAAACTCACTGTCCAGACCCAGAAACCAGGGTGACGTACAAAACAACCTTAGCGCTAAGACTGTCGTAAGTCTGTGTTAAAGTACTGGGTGACATTGTACAAAACAACCTTAGCGCTAAGACTGTCGTAAGTCTGTGTTAAAGTACTGGGTGACATTGTACAAAACAACCTTAGCGCTAAGACTGTCGTAAGTCTGTGTTAAGGTATGGGAGTTACAATCACCTTAGCACTAAGATCGCTTTGTACATCGGCACCCTGATGTCCGGATAAGAGAAGCATTTTACATAGTATTTATCTGGTTTTATCTAAATATTGTCCGGTATTCGAGGTTTCTGGGTATCTGGGTTCCACTGTACATGATTATATATCTACTCACTGAGACACTACAGCAATGTGCTGATGTCGTAGTTCCAGCCAGAGCTCATCATGGTCGTCCAGGAGAACCTCTTTCTCGTTGACATCACTGCCGCTAGTGTTTTCGTACCTGTGGAAGGTGGATCATGTGTATTTATACTTTATAGACACATATCTTGCATCTATTCATTCAGCTTAACCAAGGGTGATGTGGCAGAGGCATTATTTGTTTTGTTTGTTTGTTGTTTAACTCTGTACTCAGCAATATTCCTTGCTTTAAAAGGCGACTATGCTTGTAGTAAGAGGCGACTAACAGGATCGGGTGGTTAGGCTTGCTGACTGCGTGGATTGATGTTCATGATGTCAGTCACTGGTTTGTCTGGTCCAGACTCGATGATTTACAGACCGCTGTCATATAGCTGTAATATTGCTGAGTGCGGTGTTAAACAACAAACAAACAAACTAAAAACATTTCTTGTCTTGAGATTAATGTGAAATGACATTTGATCACTGTCAGATTCAAGTTTTGATGTCAAATGATCACTCACTTGTAGACATCATTTTCTATTGGCAGAAGGTCATAGGCCATGGCCTGGAAGGTCAGCTCATGCAGGAGAGGAGAGATGGGGTCAAATCCTCGGTCCAGAATCAAAAGGACAGACCTGTCCTTGGCAATACCCTGTTGAGCATACAACTTCATCAGTAACACAGATAATTATTGTAAAATCACCAAATTAATGCGAGTATCAACCCCTCGCCTAAAATGCATCAAGAAATTAATGCGAGAAACCCTTCCTAATTAATCAGCAAACGATAACACCAAGACTGAGAATGTCATGCAATAGTATGGACTTATATAACTTGCTACCTTCACAACATAACTTCAACTGCTTAACATGTGACTAACTTCCATGATATCAAAAGCAGGAACTTCCAGTTAACGCATATTCAAATGAGAAAGGTCAGGTAAACAACAAAGATTTACAGGTCCTAAGTGTTGTCACACAATGTAGCGCAACCTTCTGAAAGTAAATGCGCAGTGTCATGTACATTCGTCAGCACTCGCCCCTTTCCGTAACCAGCAAGAAGACTCATCCCCCTATCGATGAATGTTATGTGCGAAAATACGACAAACCAATAAGAATGCGAATATGACTTCAAGTACTTCGGTCAAAGAATCCCTCAGGAATAATTTTTGATTTTACATATGTCTTGCTTTTAAAAATATACCCAACACAGTTAAATGTGTTCAACCATACTGCATACTACTGTAAGTTCCGATGTGTTTTCAAGAGTATCTGGAATATATTCGATATATGGGGGAAATATATGTTTGTTAATATCATTACACAAGTTGACAATTCTTTTAGTTATGCCCGTTTGCGCTAAGGCAGAACCCATCCCGGAATAAAACAAGTTGGTCACAAATGTGTTAAGTATTTGCCACCACTGCTGTGACTGTAAGGGCCTTCTGACTACGTGGGTGAGCAGACTTTTACTTGAATGTTAGGGAGGACTACTTTAGTTCCACTGTGGGCATCCTGCTTGACTGAAAGTAGTTATCAGAATCTGTAAAATACAAGCTAGTCGAAAAACTAAAATCTATGAAGTAAGAAAGCAGTTATATTGTGACCAACCTCCCCCATGGTGATGTCATCGGCCTTGTAGCCATCGATCTTCTGCTGCACCATCTGAGCAAACTCAGCATTGCGATCAAAGTCACTGGAATATTAGAATTGTCATTGTCAAAAACATAAAACACAAGCATTTTACAACATACTTCTGTCCGTGCCAATTCTCAACACTCAACATTGCTCACTCATGTTTTACAAGAGAAGCATAATATTTCCTGTCACTGGTATGCAGTCTTTGCTTCAAACACACACCTGAGCATCAGTCAACAATAACATTTATTTCTGCTTTTAATATTAGTTTTCCATTCTAACAAAAGGGCTGCCAACATGTTTCAAAATTTCCAAAATTCATTCGTGAAGAAAGTTAAGAATCAATTTCGATAAAGTAAACATTATTATGGTTATATCATATCAACAGGACATGATCAGGACAAAAGGCAATTTTTTTTCGCATTTATCGCCCACAATTAAATATCCTCAACACACCACATCAGCCATTTTACAGTTCACTGTGACTTGATGAGTAAATGCTTTAGCCAAGAAGCCTTCCTGGGATGCAAAATAACCTGAAATATTAACTGGCCAGAGTTGTGATACATAAGGAAGTAGACTGGAATTTTCACCTAAAAGTCAATAAAATTAACTCAGGCAAGCAGACTAATGCCAACCCACTCCCTGTTGTGAATGTCTTACAGAGTAATAAGTCAAAACAATTGCCAGGCTGCCATCAGGACCCACAGACTGCAGAAGCTGGGATCTCTAGGAGTGCCCTGTGACACACATAAACATCTCTAGGAGTGCCCTGTGACACACATAAACATCTCTAGGAGTGCCCTGTGACACACATAAACATCTCTAGGAGTGCCCTGTGGACCACATAAACATCTCTAGGAGTGCCCAGTGGACCACATAAACATCTCTAGGAGTGCCCTGTGACACACATAAACATCTCTAGGAGTGCCCAATGGACCACATAAACATCTCTAGGAGTGCCCTGTGGACCACATAAACATCTCTAGGAGTGCCCTGTGGACCACATAAACATCTCTAGGAGTGCCCTGTGGACCACATAAACATTTTATAGGAGTGCCCTGTGGACCACATAAACATCTCTAGGAGTGCCCTGTGGACCACATAAACATCTCTAGGAGTGCCCTGTGGACCACATAAACATCTCTAGGAGTGCCCAATGGACCACATAAACATCTCTAGGAGTGCCCTGTGACACACATAAACATCTCTAGGAGTGCCCAATGGACCACATAAACATCTCTAGGAGTGCCCAATGGACCACATAAACATCTCTAGGAGTGCCCTGTGACACACATAAACATCTCTAGGAGTGCCCAGTGGACCACATAAACATCTCTAGGAGTGCCCTGTGGCACACATAAACATCTCTAGGAGTGCCCTGTGGCACACATAAACATCTCTAGGAGTGCCCTGTGACACACATAAACATCTCTAGGAGTGCCCAGTGGACCACATAAATATCTCTAGGAGTGCCCTGTGACACACATAAACATCTCTAGGAGTGCCCAGTGGACCACATAAACATCTCTAGGGGTGCCCTGTGACACACATAAACATCTCTAGAAGTGCCCTGTGACACACATAAACATCTCTAGGAGTGCCCTGTGGACCACATAAACATCTCTAGGAGTGCCCAATGGACCACATAAACATCTCTAGGAGTGCCCTGTGACACACATAAACATCTCTAGGAGTGCCCTGTGACACACATAAACATCTCTAGGAGTGCCCTGTGGCACACATAAATATCTCTAGGAGTGCCCTGTGACACACATAAACATCTCTAGGAGTGCCCTGTGACACACATAAACATCTCTAGGAGTGCCCAGTGGACCACATAAACATCTCTAGGAGTGCCCTGTGGCACACATAAACATCTCTAGGAGTGCCCTGTGGCACACATAAACATCTCTAGGAGTGCCCTGTGACACACATAAACATCTCTAGGAGTGCCCAGTGGACCACATAAATATCTCTAGGAGTGCCCTGTGACACACATAAACATCTCTAGGAGTGCCCAGTGGACCACATAAACATCTCTAGGGGTGCCCTGTGACACACATAAACATCTCTAGGAGTGCCCGGTGGACCACATAAATATTTCTAAGAGTGCCCAGTGGACCACATAAACATCTCTAGGGGTGCCCTGTGACACACATAAACATCTCTAGGAGTGCCCTGTGACACACATAAACATCTCTAGGAGTGCCCTGTGGCACACATAAATATCTCTAGGAGTGCCCTGTGACACACATAAACATCTCTAGGAGTGCCCTGTGACACACATAAACATCTCTAGGAGTGCCCAGTGGACCACATAAACATCTCTAGGGGTGCCCTGTGACACACATAAACATCTCTAGGAGTGCCCGGTGGACCACATAAATATCTCTAGGGGTGCCCTGTGACATACATAAATATCTCTAGGAGTGAATGTCTTCCAGTGTAAAAAGTCAAAACAAATACCAGGCTGCCATCAGGACCCACAGACTGCAGAAACTGTAGGCCCAAATAAACTCTACAGGCCACCGTTTTCAAAAAAAGACTGCAGCTTATACAAATACAGAGACACGATAGACACGGAATTTACTGCAGGCCAAAGGACGCATACAACTTTGAAACTACGAGCCCGAAACAAGATCTACCTTATTTCGTTCACTTATTTCGAACACTGATGTCTCACCTCCTAAATCTGACAGCAGGGTACTCCCCCAGGGTGGCACACAGCGTGGCGATCTGCTCCGCACAGCGCTCCAGGTTCGTGGTCCTGCCCCCTGTCCTCTGGGGGTTGAAGTAGTACTGGAAGGTGTCATGCGAGTCCAGGGAAAACACCTGCAGCCAGGAAGCAGCATGACCAGTGATGACAAACACTGAGCTTCTTTGTTTGTTTTACATGTTTTAGGCTTAAGTCTGCAATGTTCAGCTATAGCAGGACATATGTTGGTTTGGTATTTTAAGAGTTGGTAAGTGACAATAAACAGGAGGCATTTTATGGTTGACATCTTCTTTATGCTATTAGGTGCCCTGTGGCACACATAAACATCTCTAGGAGTTCCCTCCCTACATTGTTAGAGTCAGTGTTTCATTACCTGTGCTTCATATGGAAGGAAAGCAATGTTGATCTCCTTCAGAGTCTTCACTCTCTTGCTTGCACTGGATTTAGTCAACTCGTTGAACAGCTCGTCAGGACATGCTGGAGACAAAACACATGTTACATTCCTGAACTGTTGCCTCTGCATTATCTTTGCAATTAGATTCAGGGATGTATGTCAAACATTTACTTTTGTGAGTGAGTGAGTTAGATATAACACTGATCTGAACAGTATTCCAGTTATATCACGGCGTGTCAGTCTGATGTAGAAGTAAAGACCAAAGTGATGCAGGTCTCAGGTGTTTACCACCTTCATGAAACCCACAAGCGTGGGTAGGTGCTGACAAATATAGAATACTAAACGAGCTCCCGTGTAATACCAATTTTATGAAACTCGTGAATAGTTCTGGTATCTGACTCGCTTTCGCTCGTCAGATACCATAACTATTCACGAGTTTCATAAAATTGGTTTTACATGGGAGCGAGTTTAGTATTTTATTTATTACTGGCCATTTATAACGTTTTTAGAATTATACTGTTGAGTGTGAATAGGCTGACACCTACACGATCCACGGCATAATCAAACTGAGTTTAACACAGTAATACTTCAAATACGTCAAAAGTTGAAACGTATGAATTTAATACCATCCAAGGGTCCACCTTTAGAATTCAGGCGTCCGTTCCACAAAATTATCGTAGCGTTAAGGTTATCGCAACTCACATACTTTAACTTAGACCAACGACTGTCGTTGCGCTACAGTACGATCGCCAATACCCGATGACGTAATTTGTGGAATTTTGTTGCAAGATCCTTCGGCGAAACAATGCCATGTGACGTCAACCTAGCAACAAGGTTGCTGGGGTCATCCAGTGTGCATAAGCTCCTCTCAGTGATCTATCATCTCCACACGCAATGTCGTTGAATAAGCCAAGGGATGTTGAGAGCTTTCAATATTTGTTCGTGAAACGTGTTCCGAGAGTACATAAGCACGCGTTTTGGTATTACACAATGTGTAATAAAGCTATATGTTTATTAAATGGGTGATCTTTTCACGGGCAAGTAATAAACCTAGATACATAACAGGGGTGAAGGGGAATTCAAACCCACGCGTTTTGGTATTACACAATGTGTAATAAAGCTGTATGTTTATTAAACAGGTGATCTCTTCACGGGCAAGTAATAAACCTAGATACATAACAGGGGTGAAGGGGAATTCAAACCCACGCGTTTTGGTATTACACAATGTGTAATAAAGCTATATGTTTATTAAACGGGCGATCTCTTCACGGGCAAGTAATAAACCTAGATACATAACAGGGGTGAAGGGGAATTCAAACCCACGCGTTTTGGTATTACACAATGTGTAATACAGCTATATGTTTATTAAACGGGTGATCTCTTCACGGGCAAGTAATAAACCTAGATACATAACAGGGGTGAAGGGGAATTCAAACCCACGCGTTTTGGTATTACACAATGTGTAATAAAGCTATATGTTTATTAAACGGGTGATCTCTTCACGGGCAAGTAATAAACCTAGATACATAACAGGGGTGAAGGGGAATTCAAACCCACGCGTTTTGGTATTACACAATGTGTAATAAAGCTATATGTTTATTAAACAGGTGATCTCTTCACGGGCAAGTAATAAACCTAGATACATAACAGGGGTGAAGGGGAATTCAAACCCACGCGTTTTGGTATTACACAATGTGTAATAAAGCTATATGTTTATTAAACGGGCGATCTCTTCACGGGCAAGTAATAAACCTAGATACATAACAGGGGTGAAGGGGAATTCAAACCCACGCGTTTTGGTATTACACAATGTGTAATACAGCTATATGTTTATTAAACGGGTGATCTCTTCACGGGCAAGTAATAAACCTAGATACATAACAGGGGTGAAGGGGAATTCAAACCCACGCGTTTTGGTATTACACAATGTGTAATAAAGCTATATGTTTATTAAACGGGTGATCTCTTCACGGGCAAGTAATAAACCTAGATACATAACAGGGGTGAAGGGGAATTCAAACCCACGCGTTTTGGTATTACACAATGTGTAATAAAGCTATATGTTTATTAAACGGGTGATCTCTTCACGGGCAAGTAATAAACCTAGATACATAACAGGGGTGAAGGGGAATTCAAACCCACGCGTTTTGGTATTACACAATGTGTAATAAAGCTATATGTTTATTAAACAGGTGATCTCTTCACGGGCAAGTAATTAACCTAGATACATAACAGGGGTGAAGGGGAATTCAAACCCACGCGTTTTGGTATTACACAATGTGTAATAAAGCTATATGTTTATTAAACGGGTGATCTCTTCACGGGCAAGTAATAAACCTAGATACATAACAGGGGTGAAGGGGAATTCAAACCCACGCGTTTTGGTATTACACAATGTGTAATAAAGCTATATGTTTATTAAACGGGTGATCTCTTCACGGGCAAGTAATAAACCTAGATACATAACAGGGGTGAAGGGGAATTCAAACCCACGCGTTTTGGTATTACACAATGTGTAATAAAGCTATATGTTTATTAAACGGGTGATCTCTTCACGGGCAAGTAATAAACCTAGATACATAACAGGGGTGAAGGGGAATTCAAACCCACGCGTTTTGGTATTACACAATGTGTAATAAAGCTATATGTTTATTAAACAGGTGATCTCTTCACGGGCAAGTAATTAACCTAGATACATAACAGGGGTGAAGGGGAATTCAAACCCACGCGTTTTGGTATTACACAATGTGTAATAAAGCTATATGTTTATTAAACAGGTGATCTCTTCACGGGCAAGTAATAAACCTAGATACATTACAGGGGTGAAGGGGAATTCAAACCCACGCGTTTTGGAATTACACAATGTGTAATAAAGCTATATGTTTATTAAACGGGTGATCTCTTCACGGGCAAGTAATAAACCTAGATACATAACAGGGGTGAAGGGGAATTCAAACCCACGCGTTTTGGTATTACACAATGTGTAATAAAGCTATATGTTTATTAAACGGGTGATCTCTTCACGGGCAAGTAATAAACCTAGATACATAACAGGGGTGAAGGGGAATTCAAACCCATGCGTTTTGGTATTACACAATGTGTAATAAAGCTGTATGTTTATTAAACGGGTGATCTCTTCACAGGCAAGTAATAAACCTAGATACATAACAGGGGTGAAGGGGAATTCAAACCCACGCGTTTTGGTATTACACAATGTGTAATAAAGCTATATGTTTATTAAACGGGTGATCTCTTCACGGGCAAGTAATAAACCTAGATACATAACAGGGGTGAAGGGGAATTCAAACCCACGCGTTTTGGTATTACACAATGTGTAATAAAGCTATATGTTTATTAAACGGGTGATCTCTTCACGGGCAAGTAATAAACCTAGATACATAACAGGGGTGAAGGGGAATTCAAACCCACGCGTTTTGGTATTACACAATGTGTAATAAAGCTGTATGTTTATTAAACGGGTGATCTCTTCACGGGCAAGTAATAAACCTAGATACATAACAGGGGTGAAGGGGAATTCAAACCCACGCGTTTTGGTATAACACAATGTGTAATAAAGCTGTATGTTTATTAAACGGGTGATCTCTTCACGGGCAAGTAATAAACCTAGATACATAACAGGGGTGAAGGGGAATTCAAACCCACGCGTTTTGGTATAACACAATGTGTAATAAAGCTATATGTTTATTAAACGGGTGATCTCTTCACGGGCAAGTAATAAACCTAGATACATTACAGGGGTGAAGGGGAATTCAAACCCACGCGTTTTGGTATAACACAATGTGTAATAAAGCTATATGTTTATTAAACGGGTGATCTCTTCACGGGCAAGTAATAAACCTAGATACATAACAGGGGTGAAGGGGAATTCAAACCCACGCGTTTTGGTATTACACAATGTGTAATACAGCTATATGTTTATTAAACGGGTGATCTCTTCACGGGCAAGTAATAAACCTAGATACATAACAGGGGTGAAGGGGAATTCAAACCCACGCGTTTTGGTATTACACAATGTGTAATACAGCTATATGTTTATTAAACGGGTGATCTCTTCACGGGCAAGTATTAAACCTAGATACATAACAGGGGTGAAGGGGAATTCAAACCCACGCGTTTTGGTATTACACAATGTGTAATAAAGCTATATGTTTATTAAACGGGTGATCTCTTCACGGGCAAGTAATAAACCTAGATACATAACAGGGGTGAAGGGGAATTCAAACCCACGCGTTTTGGTATTACACAATGTGTAATAAAGCTATATGTTTATTAAACGGGTGATCTCTTCACGGGCAAGTAATAAACCTAGATACATAACAGGGGTGAAGGGGAATTCAAACCCACGCGTTTTGGTATTACACAATGTGTAATAAAGCTATATGTTTATTAAACGGGTGATCTCTTCACGGGCAAGTAATAAACCTAGATACATAACAGGGGTGAAGGGGAATTCAAACCCACGCGTTTTGGTATTACACAATGTGTAATAAAGCTATATGTTTATTAAACAGGTGATCTCTTCACGGGCAAGTAATTAACCTAGATACATAACAGGGGTGAAGGGGAATTCAAACCCACGCGTTTTGGTATTACACAATGTGTAATAAAGCTATATGTTTATTAAACAGGTGATCTCTTCACGGGCAAGTAATAAACCTAGATACATTACAGGGGTGAAGGGGAATTCAAACCCACGCGTTTTGGTATTACACAATGTGTAATAAAGCTATATGTTTATTAAACGGGTGATCTCTTCACGGGCAAGTAATAAACCTAGATACATAACAGGGGTGAAGGGGAATTCAAACCCACGCGTTTTGGTATTACACAATGTGTAATAAAGCTATATGTTTATTAAACGGGTGATCTCTTCACGGGCAAGTAATAAACCTAGATACATAACAGGGGTGAAGGGGAATTCAAACCCATGCGTTTTGGTATTACACAATGTGTAATAAAGCTGTATGTTTATTAAACGGGTGATCTCTTCACAGGCAAGTAATAAACCTAGATACATAACAGGGGTGAAGGGGAATTCAAACCCACGCGTTTTGGTATTACA